ATGCCAATCTGCCAAAGAGAAAGATATCAAGTCTTTAATTTATTTCAATACATTTCTTTAGAAACTAACTCCATGTTCAGTGAGTCTGTTCAAGCAGTTCCACCTGTTTGCTGAGTTCCAGGTCTTCAACTACATTTCCACCATTCCTCTTGTAAGTCTCCTTCTGCTCTATTCCAACCTGCAAAAGACAAAGAGAGCACCAACAGAGCCCTACCTGCTCTGTTTTAGATAGATGTCCATCGATGCTCTTGTGAGTCTCACTCTGCCTGCTTTCTCTATTACCTGAAAGAAAAACCTGACACAGACGAGGCCTACCTAACTATCTATACCAACCACAACCCGCTTCATCTTGGAAGGAGTTAAAAACAAAAATCCTGACCACCAATTTCCAGTCATCGCTGAGGTGTGTGCACAATGCAATAGAAAGATATCAAGTCATTAAATAATCTTTATACCATTCCTTGGAAGTTTCAACTACCATTGTCTCCAGTCTGGTTCTGTTCTAACACTAACAAATAATATTTCACAGGTATAAATAAATACTCTACAAGACGGCAATCTATAAACTTAGATTAAATAGATGTGTTGCAATGATTAGTAAAACTTTAAATAGAGCAAACAACAACAAAAAGCTACAAATGTTAAACAGGCCAACAGCATAAACTACAAATACACAATTAATGTAATAAGACTAGTAATATGCAAGTTGTGTTAAAGCTGACAGCGTACAAATACATTAAAACAGATTAATTTATCTGATGATATAACAAATTACAATCTGCAGGATAACAATATTCAAGTAAAGCATACGAACAAATAAAAATCTACCAACCTGACAACATAACAAATGGCATTCAACGATTATAAATGAGCTCATAAAGAATATAATACACGATCTAAAATAAAATATATGTATTCAAAATCCTAAAATTGACAAGTCAACAGTAAAGCAATCTCCAATTCCAACCAACATTCAGTAACGTTACAATCTACAGTCTAAGCGAAGAAATAAGTGGAAAAAATAATATAATAATCTGAAATTATATGAGGGAGTCACGGAGAGAAACACTAAAATATTTAGTGTCCTTCAGTCAGAGCACGCTGAAACAACCATATATGATAACCTAAAATCTGAAAAATCTTTACATACCGCTGCTGTCAGCGATGGTCAGACACTTACTGCAGTTTACCTTTCGAATACATTCTTTTTTTAGAATGCCAGGCACTATGGTAACCACAGCAACGTCACCGCGCCGGCGCCAAATTCAATCACCTTAAAGGTCCAGTGCGCGATTTCCGTAAAGCACTGTAGAATATAACAATAATAATTCTGTAAATGATTTGCTTCCCTTACTGTACTGTCATCTTTTAATATAAATAAAAACAACTTTGATTCTCAATTTGACTTACTTTTGTATGTTTATGTTTCATTTTGCATGCATTTATATCTTATTTTTCAGGCATATATTAAATGAGTCTGTGTACTCACTAAAAAAAATAAAACATAGTTCAATTTAAACATCGCCGAATAACACTGAAAGGCTTTATCATATTGTTATATTTTTAATAATAGGCAATTGCTGTTGTTTTATCAAATGTATGTTCAAAACATGTATTTTGACTCTTAGTGTTCAGCAGTGTGTAAACTGCAGTGCACATTCGTTTCATTATTAGATAAGATTACAGATTTATTTTTCATTTTATGCAGTTGTACTTTTTCATTTTGTATCTTGAAATGAATATTATCAATAAATTTGAATATTTATTACTGTTGTTCATTTGTCATTTCCTTTTTCTGTTAAGATTATAACAGCCTTTGTCATTTATAATGTCTGCATAAATAAGCCTCACTTAATAAACAATGCATAAATATTCCTCACTCAAAACAGTATGAATAAACCACACACAGTAACTTCCCTCCTGAAAAATAAAATGTATTTGAATGGTTTATTAATCGCTTGCTTACATTCAATTTAACATTTAACACCGTAATTTATCACAATGTACTTGTTTGAAGTGTGTTTCCCTGTTTCTCCACATGCTCCATGCCAATCTGCCAAAGAGAAAGATATTCATTCAATTTTCTTTGACTTAATCCCTTTATTTATCAGGGGTCGCCCTGCGGAATGAACCACCAACTCATCCAGCATATGTTATGCACAGGGGATGACTTTTCAGCTGCAACCCAGTACTGGAAAACACCCATACACACTCATTCTCAAACATACATTACAGACAATTTAGATTATTTAATTCACCTATAGCGCATGTCTTTGGACTGTAGGGGAAACCAGAGCACCCGGAGGAAACCCACACTGACACAGGGAGAACATGCAAACTCCAAACAGAAAGGGGTCAAACTAGCAACCTTCTTGCTGTGAGCCACTGTGCTCTAATCACTGAGCCACCGTGTCACCCAAAGATAACAAGTCTTGAATTAATCTCAATATATTTTTTTGGAAACTAACTCCATGGTGAATCTGTTCCAGCAAAGTGAATAATGTCTTCTGGGATCACCACTTGTAATTAATACACTTACATATAATTATAAGTGGGGTCTAGCAACGCACCTGGTTGAAACTAAGAGTACAGGTGAAACTTATTGCAGTGTGTTTAGTTTGTACAAAATTAACAGAGATGATCCCCGTGTTGGGCTTTATGTGTCTGCGGAATATGGCGAGTGGATGACATGGGTTATGGCGGGTACCTCTCGACAAAATCAAATGTCCGTGTGATAAACAAGTTGTAACAAATAACATACTTATCCATTATGATTTCAGTGTTCTGCTATTGCACGAGCGAAGAGAAATATTGTAATTAATAATAATTTCAATAATTGTTGCTAAATCTGGCAACAAAATGATAATACATAAATATATATATATAACGAGAGAGAGAGAGAGAGAGAGAGAGAGAGAGAGAGAGAGAGAGAGAGAGAGAGAGAGAGAGAGAGTTGAGTGCCAAATGATGCCATGTTCATAAAAGTAGCTTTAATAATTCTTTACATTTATATAGGGCTTTTCTAGACACTCAAAGTGCTTTAAACATTTTTGGGGAAATCTCCTCAACTACCAACAGTGTCGCGGCGGCAACCATATTGCGCCAGACCTCATATCACACACCAGCTGATTGGTGTTCAGGAGACAGAGTGATGAAGCCAATTATGGTATGGGTATGGTAAGGAGGCCATGATAGACAGAGGTCAGTGGGCAGATTTGGCCACGATGCTACTCTTTTTCGAAGGACATCCAATGATTTTTATCAACCGTAGAGAGTCAGGACCTCGGTTTAACGTCTCATCCTCAAAGACTGCGCTCACTGAGCAGTATAAAGTCCCCGTCACTATACTGGGACCACGCAGACCACAGGTTGGGCGCCCATTGCTGATCTCTTTAACACCACTTCCGGCAACAACCCAGCTTTCCCACTTGGTCTCCCATCCAGCTACTGACAGGGCGCAGCCCTGTTTAGCTTCAGTGGGTGACCATGTGAGAGTTGCAGAGAGCTAGCTGCCGACAAGGCTTTGAAAGAAGGTCTGCAGTAGTGTTCGCTGCCATTTTCATAATAAAAGTGTAGTGTACCTTTAAGATCCAACAAATAATAGTTCATTTAACTGACTGATAAGACATCTGATTAAAGGAATAAAAAAATAGGCTCGTTTTACAAGTTACCTTAAGTGAAAAAAACTGGCTGCGGCACTTTTAACAAAGACCATTAGCATCTCACTCAAAACTTCTCACTTATAAATATATATTTTCTGTTTAAAGCTTGACTCTTTTGTAATTAAATTGTGTACCAAGACTGACAAAAAATTAATAACTGCTTTTTTTGTAGGTCGATATGGCTAGGAACTACATTCCAGAATATTAATGAAGGAACTTTGCTGTTTTACCAGGGCTATAGCAGGCACAATATTACACAGTGATGTTACATAGTTACCTAGTTGGGGTCTACTTACAGCCAGTTATTAGGTTATCATGGATTATTGGATTTAAAAATATTAAAACTCAACTGTTTAACTCCAGATGACTAGTAAAAGTGTAATGCTAAGCACTCATTTGAGACATTGCATCTACTTGTCAACTAATCCTCATTAGATTATAAGTAGACTGTTCGATTGGGTTTAGTGTAAATTGACATGTACTGCAAAGTTTCTTATGGTCAGTTAAATGTGTATTGAAGGACTGTTAAATGTCAGTATCAACAGATATTAAGCAGACACTCTACTGATACTCAACTGGACCATCAAAATAAAGTGTTACCAAAAGCTTTAACCACATTGATGTAAACATTGTTTGTTGACTAAATGAAAAAATATAAAACCTACCAGAGCACATTCTGCTGTATCCATCATGAGCTGGCAATGGGAAAGGGACTCCTCAAAGGTTTCGATACATTGTTTTTAATAAAAATACAGAAGGCTTACTTCATGAATTACAGCTTGTAAATGAATTTCTTTCATACTTTGCGTCAAATTATTTTAAAATACAAGCAATAAATACTCATACTGATTTTCCTTACATTTAACATTTGAACATTTTTCAATGCATTCTGTTTCTGATCTCAATAATCAATAAGAATCTACAAACATTACTTCTCTATTTGTTTTACTCAGCAGCTTCAATAAATTGTCACTCCTTCAGTAGAAATGAACAGGAAGTGTGATGTGGACACTTGATCTATATACAGCTATACAAGCACAATCACACATAAATATCCTACTGTACCAAATTAGTATATGCATAAGCTCACGTATGTACAGTGCTCTCAAATGTATGTTTAAACTATGAGCTCAGAGCAGTAAAGTAATTGTTTTTATATTAAAAAATAAAAAAAAGACCAATTCCATTAAATGCAATTACGATTTGAGCAAAATATTTGGGCTAACAAATCAAAAGCCACTGATATTTTTTTGAAGATAAACATGTAACGACTGAATTGTTGAAATTAAAACAGTAATATTTACAGTAGGCTAACCAACAACAGAGAGAAAGACTGTATTCATCTGTGAATCTGTATTTACCTTCTCAATATAATCAGATGTACACAGTAAATAGCAGAGCACACATAATTCCCACAATATACAGTATATTCAACATCAAAATTTTATAATACACAAAAATAGCCAGTGTAACAAGAACTAAATGTAAAACAAGATCACAAATGATTAGAAACTATTTACTCTGGAAAGCTGAGTGATGTTTTGATTTGTGCAGATGTATCTGTCCTGAACACTATAAAAAGTACCTGTTTGAAAATGTTGACTCAATACTGAAACTCTCCCAATAGCAAGTCCTTCCTCTTCGTAAAGAAGAGTGTGTTTGTGTGATGCTGAGTCTTCAGCACAGCAGATTAGGGCAGTGAGAGTGCTTTGGCCAGTCGAGTCCAGAACCAGACCTGTGTGCAGGGTTTGCTGTAATCACAGATGGTCAGAAAGCGCAGAATGCTGGGAAACGGCCTCTTCATGGATTTGTAGACGACAGGGATTAGCCGTTTAGTGCGAGCTCCTGAAGAACAAACAAAAGCAAACTGTTGCATTAACATTAGATCCAGGGCTGCACAATATATATATATATATATATATATATATATATATATATATATATATATATATATATATATATATATATATATATATATATATATATATATATCGTTTCAGCATCGATATCGCAATGTGTGCATCCGCAATAGTCACATCGCAAAGACATGCAACGTGTTGAGTCTGAATTATGGTTGAAGAGGAGCTACAGAATTGTATTTAATCACTGTTTTCATACACAATTCATATGATTTATGCAAAAATTCTCACTTCAAATTTCTGTCTTGTTTCTAGTCAAAATATCTACATTTCAAAGTGAAACAAGATTGTCACTTACCCCACTGGCAGATCATTTGGCTTGTTTCGAAGAAAAAACTGTTTAATGAAAACTTTCACTTATTTTTTCTGATGGTAAAAACTAAACAACATTTATACTTGCTTTAAGATTTTTTTTTTAATATTTAGACTGGAAACGAGCTAAAACAATGGAAGAAAAGCATTTTTTTGCATTGTGATTATTTAGTGTCTTTACTTGAATACTGTTTGACTCCCCAGAAAACCATCAAATAGAGCTATTCCACTTATCCTGTGAAACTGTGGTATAGTATATTTATCGCAGAAAAATCAAATATTGCAGAGTGAGATTTTTCCAATATTATGCAGCCCTAATTATTAGACATGTAAGATTAGATATATTTGTGGTCATATTTATAAAGCTTCTGGTTTTAGAATAAAGCAAATATAACAGTTAAGGGCGTTTAGACACTTTGTTGCAACAGTAGCTGTTCTAAATTCAAATCACTACTGTACCTGATGGGCTAATTGCTTTTTTAAAATGGTTATTTCATATATGTATCAAACTTTCACTAAATAAAACTACGCAAATTAAACCCTTTTTTTCTTCTCAGTACTAATAGTGGAATTATTGCCATTTAATTCGTTCAACATCATGTGAATGAAAGTGTCCTGCAGTTTCATTAAATAATTCAAACTGTTAGTTGTGTATGAATTGTGCAACATTTTATGTTTTTTTAAATAAGTTAATAAGTTTTTTTTAAATAAGTTTATAATCCGGGTATTACTTTTCATTATAGTAATTTTAGTGTGAACAGAATACTTGCACTATTTATATGTAAAAACAGAATAAAAAACTGGGCAAGTATGTGAAATATAGATGAACTTATTGAAAAATGTTAATTGCCTCATGAAGAGAACCCTTAAAACAGTGCTGGAGCTGTAAAACACACTCAGTAATTCAATGAAATGTTAAGGAAGATTTTGTACCTGGGCAAAGACTGAGCGCAAACTTAGTCTGAAAATCACAGGCATCACTATCCAGATAATCATCAGAGATGACCACCACCATCCTCTTACACCTAAGAAACAGCATTTACATAAAACATATAATACAAGTAATAAAATAAATATATAAAATATAACATTAATTGCAACAAATGTACATAATAATAATAATATATGGGGGATGCAGCGATATAAATATTGTGGTAAATTGTATAGTAATGTTACTATTATGGTCATAAAAAAACAATAAATAACTGATTTCAATATTATATACAAAAAACAGACATCATTTTATACTTCTTTATTTTAACATTGTACTATATAGATTATATTATGTTATATAAATTATATTAAAGTAAATGAAATATATAAAATGTATTGACATATCTTTCATATAGTTTTTAAATAATAGTTTTAATATACTTTTATAAAATGACATTAAAGCTTTTTACATTTACTGGACGCTAAATATCCACAAAGCAACATGCCTTTTTTCGATAAGCTCACTGGCGATGGTCCACACGCATGTGCCAGGAAGGACGTCTCTGTCAAACACACAAAGCTTCAGGTTGTATTCGGTGTGTTCCAACTGTTTGATCATCTCGTGGACAAACTGAATGTCACTCTGACAGTAGCAGATGAAAGCATCAAAGGTCTCAGGTGTCAGTCCTGTTGACAGAGAAGACAATAGTTAGTTTGACACTGCTAAACTCCACAGCACATTCAGACAGAAGGGGTTAAACACTGACCCTGTGGATCATCATAAAGCGTGATTCCTTCTCTCTCCTGTGTTCGAGGTCCACAACTGTCCACCACTGGAACCTGAAGCGGTTTCCTCTGTTGTCTTTCCATGTACTTCCTGCAGTCGTCATCTGTGCACAAACACCAACAACATACAGTATGATAACACTTCTGTGGAGACCTTTGCTTTTCATCAAATGCCATTTTTAGATGTGTGAAATGTTCGATTCTTCCTGTAGTCATGATTAGTCCATCTTTGATCGAGACATGATGAAATAATGTCTGCTTCCATAATAACAAAAAATGGCAAGGTGCTCTTTATTATTTGTTCTAGTTCAGTTCATACTGCTGAATACATGTGTTATTACAGTCCTACACTTTGGCCATTATATATATTTTTATGTACAATAAAATATAAAAAGTACAAAATATACTGAATGTAAAAAACTTTGATGTACAATAGATTTTTATTGACATGAAAATATCAAATTCTTTCCTTTTCTTTTCGGCTTAGTCCCTTAAAATAAAAAATAACAAGCATAATAAAAGTTTACTTTACCCAGAGAAGGATTAATTCTTTTTTTTCCTGTTGAACACAAAATAAGATACTTTAAAAAATGTTGAAAACCTGTAACCATTGACTTGCATAGTAATTGTTTGTCCTTCTATGGGTGTCAATGGTTGCAGAGTTTAAAAACATTCAGCAAAATATCTTCTTTTGTGTTCAATATGAAAAGGAAACTCATATAGATTTGGAACCACCTGAGGTTGAGTAATAGTGAGATAATTTTCATTTTTGGGTGAACTATCCCTTTAATAACAACGACAAAAAATAATATTTGATAATGCAACAATTAAATAATATATTGAAGCGAACAAAGAAAAGCAATAAACACATGGAATTTAGATGACGTACCTAAAATTTCTTTGAGCTCGGATATGACATCTTTCCTTTCAGCTTTTTCTAAAATCGACAGTAAATTCGCTACTGTGGCGTCTGGACGAGTTTCCCAGTCCGTCAAGACCTTTTCAAAGGGACATTCTCTTTTCTCGAAGTTTTTGATCTCCAGGTACGTGAAGTCCATCAGTTCTGCCACTGTCCTCCAGTCTGCCGCCACAGTGTTTGTTGGGTTTAGGAACAGACCCAGTTTCTTTCGGAAACTGCAGTTTAAAGCTGTTACTGGAATCGCCTCATGGTCTATACTTAACTTTGATGCCATATTTATTAGCAAAACCTCTGTTATCCAGCGAAGTTGTTGTATATCTCCGCGTTACCCCGAAAAGAAACGTGAATTAAAAAAGTAAAATAGTTTAACGTTAATATATTTTAAGTTGTCATTTCCTGAAGTTACGGATATACTGAACTTTAAGAAAACAAATTTACGAACTGAAGTGCACCACGCAAGTTGGCAAGTTCACGTTACAACTACACAACAAGCAAAGCGAAGATTGAGGAAATGCTAGCTAAAATCTCTAGTCTGGTCAGAGAAATGACGAAATACGTCAAAAAAGGAGGAGGAAAAAGAAGGGAGGGTCGACTGTTTCAGGATCGGCTGATAGATGTTTTCGAGTCATGAGGAGATTGGTTGAACAGATCTCAGGTCTGCTTAAAAAGCCCCAAACCATATAAGGTCAATTTCCGCTATTTTTACGCTAGGCTAGACGGCCCACCGTGGAGGGGAAAGGCTTCAAATTGCCTCTTTTGCAGAAGTGTTTTTTTTCCTTTGATGTAGTGAAATAGTTGTTTTACTATGTTTGAAGCAGTCTTTGATTTAACATTGTCAAATTTAATAAAATAAATGTTTCACGTTAGCAATATTTCTTTAATAGTCTATATAAAATGTTTACCATTTGTTCAAATTTACAAACCTTTTGTCTGATGCACAAGCTTAAAAAGATTTTAAAAAAGTAGAATTAGTGCTTCTTACTTACCAATAAATGCAACAGTGGTGCTTTGTTAACACTTATAATTGGAAGACATAAGTCAAAACTGAATTGTTGTTGTCTAAATGACAGATCCCATATATATATATAAAATGGCATAAATGCTACATTTGTAACTAGTATTAATAGAATAATTACTATTCACTAATGAAACACTGAAGTAATTAAGTATTTAATAAGTATAAGTATCTAATTAATAAGAACTAGTATCTTATAAACAAATACTAGCATCTAAAAAAAGTACTAGTATCTTTTTAAAAAAGGTAGTGACTAAAATCATTAGTTGAATAAGTAGATACTATCTAAAATAGATACTAGTTGCATGAAAGCAGAAAGTTGCACAATTAACAGTTTAAACAGCTTGCGGTCATTTTGGATAAAAGTATCTGCTAAAACAGTACATGTAAAAGATCTGTCTTTTACAGCTTTTCCCCTCACTTTTTAAAACAAAACTGAAACACTTGCCACTTCTCACTTCCTAATTCTACTTAAATGAAGGAAATATTCTGAATGTGCACATTAATCAAAGTATTTTCACAGTATGACCTACCATGTACATCATGTGAGAAAGGCAAAACTCCAACAAAATCCCAACGGTTTTATTTTTAGGTAGAGCATAATGAAAAATGATTATAAATGATCTTACTTTTGTACTAAACAAGGACATCTTAAGGGATACTACCACTAAAACTGTCATACTGAACTTAATGCAATACAAATAAATACATGAAAAATAGAGTAACAGTTTTTGTAAGAACAAAAAAAAGAAAGCAAGTAGCCATTTCTGTATGTGTATGAAAACAGATTCAGAAAGAGCAACATAAAACCACACTGTTTTTCGATTTCCTCTTCCTCATTCAGCAATGTAAACTGTGGCCTGAGCAGATGCTGCAGTGTCACTTGAGTAAAAGTGCAATTTCACCTCATCTTCTCCTCAAAAATGTTTGTTCTTGGAGAAGTAGAAGTCAATGCCTCTGTCTTTGTGTTGTCTTGCTGTGTAAGATGAACCCTTTCTTCCTTTAGATGATGACGAGCCAGACTAAAAGAGAAAGAAATGTTTTGTTTTTTGAAATATTTTTTTATTTTGTCCATAATAATGAATGAGCTTCACTTGTGTTGTCAAAAGTATAGATATTTTGCTTTGCATCGATACTGAAATGTCAAACTTAAAACGTCATGGCTTTTCTGCAGAATTGATACCTGCCATGCATTAATGAGTCAAAAAAATGCTAAACCGCTGTTAGACTTGCCTAAAGAATGTTCTGCATGTTTTCATCTGTAGTATTGTAGTTTTATTTACTTGAGGTTATAATTTGGTTATTTGTTTATTATTGATTGTTCATTGTCTTCAAGTGATCTCTAGTGAAATTAAAAATAAAGATTTTTAGATGTTAGTATCACTTGTTATATCTATAAGCTAGAGTGCAATGAAACTGTGATAAAATACACATTTTGAAGATATAAACCTGATACAAACATCCAAAGCTTGCAGTTGTCACTCTCACTTAAATGGATCAACAATTTTTGAACATCACTTCATACTTCAGTTTCTCATCCAATCTTGATCAATCAAATGCTCTATTATGTGACATGCCTCGCTCCCTTCAAGACGCTTCTCATTTGCTTTTCATTTGATGCGCATGAGCTCAAATTCTCTGGCTGCGTCCGAAACCGCCTACTACTCAGTAGGTACTGCATTTGAATTTAAACGTACTTCTCGGCCATTAGAAAAGTACGTTCTATACAGGATAAATGTGAGACGTATGAATGAAATTAGGACATACTACACCTGCCATTTTGTCCTGGTCACAAGACCTAAATGTGTCAGTTGCGTCACTTCACTCCCATTCATAAATTCTCTCGTGGGGCATCATGGGATAGCACAGCATGCATGGGATGCGCACTTCTGAATCTCGCCGGAAGTAGTTAGTCATCCGGGTACTTCTAGCATACTGTTTTTTTTAATTCTATGAATTCGGACATTCTACTCGGCTCACATACTGATTTTAGAGTACTATATAGTATGAAAGTATGCGGTTTCGGACGCAACCTCTGACTGGCAGAACTGTGATGAAACAAAACGCTATTGGCTGTTTTTCAAAAAGGGAAGAGCTATTTTATGTCCCACCCTCTCTTCGTGTTTCAATTGACATTACGTCAAACATTGAATAAAAAAATTCACATTTTAAAGCACTTCACAGGACCTTTAAAATATTACATGGATTAAAACCATGAAAACAACAAATATTTTGTATCTTACTCTTATCTATTTATTATTTTTTGCTGAGCCAGTGTAATGTTTTACTATTCGAAGTATAGCAATAATATAAAATATTAAATTTGAATTACGAAATGTAAAATGTATTAAAATACTGCATGGCATATAATGTTTTACACTGTTTCATGGTAAAAAAAAGATTATTATACAATTATTTTACTCCTATATTTTTTCAACAAGGCCAGTAAAAATGATGTCATGGCAAGTGAAAATCTGAACTTAAAAAGTTAATCATTTTTGAGGTTTTACCTCTGGCAAAAGAAAAAACTTAGATGTTCATTAATATTGTAAATTGAATGAATGCTTTGGTAATATTTCCCAGTGATTTTAAAATTGGTATCAAGTATTGATATACTTAAAGATCAAGTATTGCGACAACACTACTAGTTAGTGATCTTACTGATTTGTTATTGACGTGTCGACTCCACTCGGGTGCGGTGATGATGGGACAAGGGTATGTTTGGTTGAGTGAGACCTGTGCGTGTGACAGCGCTGAGTTGCTGAGGGTCCATGGTGTGTGAACATCTCCACCTTTAATACCTCGAAGCTCAGGAACCCACTGACGGACATAGTCGCCCTTCAGAAATACATCAAGTGTCAGATCTGTGCAGGAAAAGGCTTTATCATGGTGCATTAATCTCTCCTGACACTTCTGTGCACTCACGTTTAACTTCTCCTTTCTATATTTACATTTGCATTCACAGTAGAAGCAGCTCACTGAAGTGATGATAAAGAGCATTCAAAGGTGCAAAATAAAGCGGTTCATTTATTGTAATCATTTTATTAATTTAAACTCTCAAATAATTAATGATAATAGATACAATTTAAATAAAAACTTGAAAAATGCATTTATTTTGTTGTTTTTATTTATTTATTTGTACAGTAGGCTGTAATTTTTAAATAATAATCTATTGATTGTCTATTCTAACCAAAACAATGATTTGATATTTAAAATATATTAATATATCTTTAGAGTTTTTTTTTAATTTGAGGTTTAAATTATGTATTTTATTTAATTTCCATTACATAATTAAAATACATTGTTTAATTTAATTTTACTAAAGTCTGTAACTGTTAGGAATAAACTGCAATTTATTAATTACAATTTAAGTGGACCAAGACAATAGTTGATATGTAGAATATTTAGACAGAAGGTGAAGGTCAAGACTTATTTTATTTTAATTGTATTGTATGTATTTTAAAATATTTATTTTATTGTTACTAAATTTACACCGATTAAAACGATGTATCATTTGTCATCAATCATCTGTTTTATCATTCATTCATTTTCTTGTCGGCTTAGTCCCTTTACCAATCCGGGGTCGGCACAGCGGAATGAACCACCAACTTATTCAGCACGTTTTTTATGCAGCGGATGCCCTTCCAGCCGCAACCCATCTCTGGGAAACATCCATCCATCCATCCATCCATCCATCCATACTCACTCACTCACTCACTCACTCACTCACACAGACACACACACACAGACATACACTACGGACAATTTAGCCTGTCCAATTCCCCTGTACCGCATGTCTTTGGACTGTGGGGGAAACCGGAGCATCCGGAGGAAACCCACGCGAACTCAGGCAGAACATGCAAACTCTACACAGAAACACCAACTGAGCCGAGGTTCGAACCAGCGACCCAGGGACCTTCTTGCTGTGAGGCGACAGTACTACCTACTGCACCACTGTGTTGCCCCATCTGTTTTATAATTTGTAAAATAAGTTAATTATGTTTAATGTCTGCAGCAGTAAGCAGAAAAAGCATTCAGTGTGTTCACTAAACTATATATTTTCTCCTTGGCAAAAAAAATCTAATGAATGACAACTACATAATTAATCTGTCCTAGCAAAATATGCTAGGATGAATAGTTTGAATCAGAATGTATGTGTTTTTCCCTATGACATGCTATTACAATAAGAGAACTATACAAAAACTACAACTCACATTATTGTCATAATCCAGTCCTTGTTTGATCATATTAAACTTCCTGTTTTCTCTTGGGTCGTTTCCTATTCCTGCGCTGTACAGCCAGTTTCCATAGTTGCTGCAGACGTCATGATCCACCTGAAGACAATGAAATATAATATCTCACCATATTGAAGCAAAGAGCAAAAGCATCAGTACACTTTATCAAATATAACTAACCAGCAGGTATTCAAACCATTCGGCGCCAAGTCTCCAGTCCAAGCCCAGGTCTTTGGTCAGAAAGCTGGCCACATTTTGACGTCCTCTGTTGGACATAAATCCAGTGAGCGCGAGCTCTCTCATGTTGGCATCTACAAATGGCACGCCAGTTCTTCCCTCTGCAAAACATGTGTGAAAATACTGCACTCTTAAAGGGATAGTTTACCCAAAAATTACTATTCTGTCATCATTTATTCACCCCTTGTCTTGTTCCAAACGGTTTTGAATTTTATTGTTCTGTTGAACACAAAAGAAGATATTTAAAAAAATGTTGGAAACCTGTATTTGTTTTTCATATTGTGGATGTCAACGGTTACAGGTTTCTTTTGTGTTAAAACAGAACAATAAAACTCAAACTTGTTTGGAACAAGTCAAGGGTGAGAAAATGATGGCAGAATCTTCATTCAATTCAAATCAAATCAAATATAATCAAATCAAATTAGTTATTAATTAGTGAAATTTTTGTCATCATTTTTTCACTATTTGACTTGTTTCAAACCAGTTTGAGATTTATTGTTCTGTTGAACACAAAAGAAGATATTTTAAAGAATGTTGGAACCATTCTTGGAATGGAATGTTGGAAGCTAAATTTGTTTTTCCAACTATCAATGGTTACAGGTTTCTTCTTTTGTGATAAAACAGAACATTAAAACTCAAATTAGTTTGGAATATATCAAGGGTGAGAAAATGAAGGCAGAATTTTCATTTAATGAATAATTACTGAACTCTGCAGGTCATTTAGTCACCCTGAAACAGAAAGTCAGGGAAACCCTGAAAGTCAACGCTACTGACACTATTTGAGTCAAAAATATGTACAGTATATTCAGGCAAAACAAATATCATGGCTCCTGATGATACATACAGCAATTCAGGTAATAATGTTGTAGATAATGTTTAGTTTCTTGTACAAAAGAACCGGATCATTTTTTTATATGACATTAATATATATCATCGAAAACCACTGGTACAATTGCCTGTATGTGATTTTTGAAGTGCAAATTAGAAATCACCAAGAACCACAGTTTCAGCTTAAAGCCTACTTTTATTTTTCTGCTTTATCTTGGATGAATTTTAGAAGAAGTGAAAAAAATAGTAACATTTTGGATTAAACTATCCATTTAATTTACACAAAAATAGATTGAAATGTTTTGTTATTCACTTTATGAAATAACGTTACCTTTCCATGCATCAAACATCTTCATATCTGTATTCCATGGCACATGCTTGTCTTGCAGACCTTCATAAGGGAAGAATTGATCATTTTGATCAGTGATTTAAACAAATCCATTTGCTGCTATATTCAAAGGTGGAAGATAGGAATGTGCTAAAAACATTTCTAATGCTACAAAAGATTCATAGAACATTTAAAAATCACTAATAATAATGCATTTAATATAGTTTCATTACCTCTGAAGGATCATGTAAAACTGAAGATGTAATGATGCTGAAAATTCAGCTTTGTCTGCAGCAACATTATTTTATTACCAAGATTCCTCTATTTTTTAATATTCTTATTTTATCATCAAATAAATAAAGTCTTGGTGACCATAAACAGCTTTTGAAGATGTGCAGAAATCTTACCGACTCAAACATTTTGGTAGTGTAAATTACAATGAAACATTTCAAACAAAGAGAATCTAAAACCAAAATATCCACAGACTCACCGTTCATATAAAAGATTCGGTTTCCGTATTTCAAAGCCACAAACTTAAAGTAATCTCTCCACAGAAGTTCAAATATCACCCTGGTGAAGACAAATACAATAAATCTCAGACATGAGCTAATCTAATTTGAAACCTTCCTAATCCTGTTACTCACCAGTAGGTGCTTTGGTTGGCGGTTCGTTCGACTTCGTACTTTTTAATCTGCTCATAAATGTATCTGGGTGAGATGCAGCCCAATGCGAGCCTGAAGGAAAGTGATGAAAAAACTCATGAATACTGAGCAATAACACTCATTCACATCGAGAACTATAACTATAGGGATAAATATTACAATAACTGTAACAATAATGTTTTGCTTATTATGAATAAGCCTCTGTCGCTTTAAATGCTCAAGGTCTTAAAGGGACAGTACACCCAAAAATAAAATATTAATCACAAATTACTCTCCCTCTTGTTGTTCCAAACCATTATGAGTTTCTTTTTTCTGTTGCACACTAAAGAAAATATTTTGAAGAATGTTCAAAACCGGTAACCATTGACAGCGATAGTAGGAAAAACAAATGCTATGGAAGTCAATAGCTATTAGTTTCCAACATTTTTCAAAATGACTTTTTTGTGTGTGTAACTAGCAGCAAATAGATGATACCAGAGTTTTTGTAATTTTAATTTAACAGTAGGATTTAATTCTGATTGGCTGTCAATGTTTTCATTCTCCATCAACTGGAGAAAGTTCAGAATGTGATTCCAGTTTTATTGTCTTTATTGGCGTATTTATAGTATAAAATTCACACTACTAAAATTTGCATACAATTAGCATGATTATCAAACTTTATCATTAGAGTTCTACACATCTTTTTTGGTGTGCACAGCATTTAGCTATGTTTTGATTATGCATTTTGAAATGCTCACCAAGGAGAAAACTTTGTGGAAAAGTCCACTCCAATCATTCCATTCCGGGTCTCTTTATAAGTTGCAACTGCATTCTGTGATAAAAGAAGAACATTAAAAGAACAATCCTCTCTCTTTGTTTTCGTCGGTATTATAAAAGAAGACTTATAAGCCTCACTGTATCCCAGAAATAATGCTTCAGTCTAGCAAGAGCCTCAGTTTCTCCACCACGGCACGGGAAGGCAGAACGACAGTCGTCCAATGGCTCTGAAACCGGAAAACACGGTGTACTATGAGAGTTAGCTCTGGGTATTGACAGATTTCAGTTTAATTCAAATTATTTCTTATTTAAATTTATTTTAAATTGATATCAGTTAATTGGCGTTCCAGGTACAGAGCATACGACATACAACTGTCCTCAAGGAATAAAATACTTACTTAAACATATTACTTAATGGGAAAATCAGTGTAATATGTGACCCTGGACTACAAAGCCAGTCATTTTTGGAATAAATAATAAGCTTAATAAGAATAAATTGGATCCTAATTAGCCGAGGTATGACTATTTCTATTTATTTTCTAATAATTTTTGCCATAAAATAAAAAAATGCTGACCCATATGTTGCCAAAAATATAACAGAATGTGTAGCAGAAGACTTTTGAAAATTGTACATTTTTAAAGAGAAATTTAAGGGGGATTTCATCTTTCTACACAGTAATATCATGCAAATTTTGTGTTTTGTTAGATAATATCAGGTTTTGCATTAAGATTAAATTTAGTTGGAAACGAAACTGGAAATGCAATGCATTTTTGTTATTCGGTATTTGCAAACAAAGCAGTGTACATATATGTTTGAATTATTGGATAAAAGTAAAATGATATGAAAGCTAACTTATTATGATTTAACTTTACGGTAGTATTTAGTGAAAGGCACAATGCAGATTTGTCTTAATTCAAAGCTTTAATTATTTCTTTATATGAATTGAGTTTATTCTCAATAAATGTATTTCTGATGATTATACCAGAGTTCCCACCAAGTTAAATGTGAAATATAGGAATTTCTATGACCTAGAATTAAAAAGGAAAACAGGCTGCTGTTGAGCAGTTCCTCCAGAAATTAGCAATTCTGTGATTGCTGAATATAATCAAAAAAATCAAGCAAAAATCACAACATTTAGAGGATTTCCATATTTTTAATTGGTGCAGATTTCTCACAAATTGTGATTACTGAAAATTCCTTGACTTTTCAATGTCTGGACTCTGGAATGGACCTTTTAAAAATCCATGATATCCATTCAACCCTGTTATACAGCCATCTTAGAGAAAATCAGAATACAATTGATGCCTAATAATAGTGCTATATTCAGAAACTGGAAATATGACTGACTGATTCAGCTTTTCATCCTTGTGCCACTGACTGGGTCATGTTTGTATATCTATATTGAGGTTTAAATATGATTTTACTACACACATTCTGGTACAGTGATGTAGATGATCATCACCTGTCTGTCCTAGGCTGTCAAATGTAGGAATGGGACCCTCCTCCAGTCCAGAAGGGGGGGATTTCACCTGTTCTGGAGTGGAAAGCACCGGTCGCACTCGTCCCTGAGCCTCCACTGCCTTTCTGAACTGTGTGTAAACATCAGGTAACCTTTCAAACACAGAGGAAATACAAATAAATCACTGATTTTACAAACACTGATACACTCACTGGAATTACCAATCATGTCCTGAAAAAAATAAACAAAGAAAAAACAGGAAGTTACAGTTGATGTAGATTTGCTAAATTATTTCCAGTACTTTTCTGTAAAAATTCCTTGGTAAGTTTAACTTGGTTTACAAAGCTTTGCAGTTTGGATATGCTAGATTAGATGACTTCTTACAATTGGTAAAAAAATCCATTTTATTTATTATTTTACTTTTTAATATATGCTGTCACGAGTAAAGCATCATACAATTTATACTTATGTGATACTTATACTCTACAACACTGGCAAGAGCACACAAACAATGAATATATTAAAAATTGTGTAATTGGTTATAATAAATATTAGTATATTTTTTTAATATAAAACAAATATTCTGTATAATAAAAAAATGGTATTTACTAATACTGCTTATATGCTTAAAAAAAAATCTCCTACGCATATACTCAGAAAATTTAGCAAAACAAATGAATGTCTGGAACATTTGTGGAAATTACAGAGAGTATAAAAGAAGATTTATTATTTATTTTGGGATGAGTTACTAAAAATGCAGAATTTACTTGTGTTTTAATGACAAAGTATTATGTAGGAGGCACAAACAAAAGTTCCATTATAACTGGCTTAATGTTTATTAAATTATACTCTACATTATTAAAGATAAACATAAATATGTAATTTTATGTGACAGAAGGTCTGTTTCATGCCGCTTTGAACATTTATTTTTAACATTATTTTCAGGGATTCAATATTTATATATTATTGTGTATTATTGAAATTGCACAATTTGAATATTTTTAATTGTCTAAATCAGGGGTCTGAAACTCGCGGCCCGCGGGCCATTTGCGGCCCTCAGTGCAATATTTTGTGGCCCGCGCCGACCGCTGTACACTGACAGAATCAGCGGAGCGGGGAGAGAGAGCGCTCCCCGCTCCGCTGATTCTATCCGTACACAGCGGTCACTGGCATTCCCCGCCCGCCGTGTAAACAAAGGGGCGGGGATGCCGGTGACGTCACCACGCACCCCGCCCCTTTGTTAGAACTCGCGCCGGCCAGAACCAAGGTAAGCTGTTCCCGCCCCTGCCTGCCACTTAGCTACCTATCTGCAGCCTGCCACCTACCTAGCTACAGCCTGCATCTTATATATATTATAGGTAGATATAGACTGGTACAGACTGATGTGACTGGAGTGGGGTGGGGGTGTTTTACTTATACATACGCCTTTTTTTTAGGTGAGGGAATGGAAGTTTTGAGTGAGTCTAGACAGGTCGAGACTTAATGATGATCATCTTCAAGCCATACTGAGGGTCTCAACTGCTTCCGCTCTAAAGCCAAATGTGGTTCAGATTTGTGAGAAGAAGCGCTGTCAAGTCTCTGGCAGCAAGGAGTAGGCAAAAGATGCCATGTTCAGAAGAACTGTTCATAATCTTCACTCAATGTTCTATTAATGTTCAGGACACTTCATGTTCAGAAGAAATAATTAAAACAGTTAATAATGACATTTGAGGACTTTTTTTGCGAAATCCCTTATGCGGCCCAGCCTCACCCAGACTTTGCCTCCTGCGGCCCCCAGGTAAATTGGGTATGAGACCCCTGGTCTAAATCCTTAGTAGGGGCATAATACTGTTGCACTGGAATACATACAAAATGCTGTAACATTGTTATTAGCAAATTGTTTAAATTATAACATTATTATTTTTTAATGGCAAAATATTACATGGAAGACAGAGACATCATAACAGTTCATTTAAACATATATTATGAAAATGATTAGGTTATCTATTATTATTGTTATTTATTTTATTTATTTTTACTTGTTTATTATGGAATTAACTCAACATAAATATATTTGGTGAATAAATATATAAAATATACAATGAAATCTTGACTTGAATTCTAAATGAATAAAACTAGGTTGAAGAACTAAAACATTAATAATAATTTGTAAAAAAAATAAATAAACTAAAGTGCTAAAAAGTATATTAAAATGACAACTAAAAGAAATTGTGTATATTTTCCTACCCTCCAATGTGACTGAATGGCAGATCATCTCTGTGGTAAAGTGTGGATCCCCAGAAGGTCTGAACTCTGACTTTGTTTTGGCAGCAGATTTCTTTCAGCTTCTCCTCCACACTCTTCTCCTCTGACGCCACCTTCAGACAGCCGACAGATAGACTTACACATTCACAAATTTCCCACATTGGTGATGTCTGTTAGATCAGTAAACTCACCTCTTCATGAAACGCCACAGTAGAGACTGAACCCAGCTGCTTAATCAATTCACAGACAACATCCTCCGGCTTTCCCTGTCTGACCAACAGTGTACTACACAACACACATGAGAGAGAGAGGGAGAGAGAGAGAGAAAGAGAGAGAGAGAGAGAGAGAGAGAGAGAGAGAGAGAGAAAGAGAGAGAGAGAGAGAGAGAGAGAGAGAGAGAAAGAGAGAGAGAGAGAGAGAGAGAGAGAGAGAGAGAGAAGGAGAGTTATCACCCTAAAATCAACATTTACTCATGATTTCTTTAGCTGGCCTTTTTTTCGGTTGAACACATAAAATTAGATATTTTGAAGAAAGTTGGAAACCGGTAACCATTGACTTCTGTACAAGGAAAAAAAAAAGCATTCTTCTTTTTCTGTTTAACAGACGATATAAACTCTTAAAGGTTTTACACATGTAGAGACAGAATTGTCAGTTTAGAAATATTCCTCTTATATAGTCTACTGGCCAGTAAGATGTTTTAAATAAATATTTTTAAAAGCTATATAATAATCATATAGTAATATACTAATCAAAAAATATGTCAATTGTAAATAAAACTATTTTGAGATGAAAACAATCAAACAGAAGCAACATTTGATGAATGGCTTAAGGAACTGGTAAATATGATCCAAATAGTGAGATTATGATTCATTCACTTATTCATTTTCTTTTCGGCTTAGTCCCTTTTTTTAATCAGGGGTCACCACAGCAGAATGAAAAGCTTATCCAGCACATGTTTTACACAGCGAATGCCCTTCCAGCTGCAACCCAACACAGGGAAACACACACACACACACACTTATTTATTTATTTCTAAAAGCTTCAATTACTTTTATACTTCTTTCTTGTTTCATGAGATAATTCTCTGTGATCTTCATTTTTCTGATTATTAGTATCACTTATTTTATTACCTTTTTCCATCCACTTCTGTGTCTTATACAGTATGTGTGGGATCTGTTGTTTGCTTTATTTATAGAGCACATTATATATATATATATATATATATATATATATATATATATATATATATATATATATATATATATATATATATATATATATATATATATATATATAAATATATATAATATATAAATATATAATATATATTGTATGCTGGTCTTTTATATGCAAAATATGTATATGCAAAATATATAAAACAGATTAAAATTAATTATTTGCAATCAAAACGCAAGAAACAGAAGGTGATTTTTTTAATGAGACTTAAAAGCATCAAGGGAAGAACACGACCTAATATGTAAAAGTAGACCATTCCATAGACGGGGGCTGTGAGAGAAAAAGCCCTGTCACCTCTTGACTTCAACCGTGTTTTGGGAACAACTAGCTGAAACTTGTTTTCTGACCTGATTGGAGTAAATGGAGTATGCCAGTGAAGAAGCTCGCCAACATAAATAGGCGCCAGACCATTCAAACCTTCAAAAACACGTAGCAATAACATTATTTAATCATAAATTGGACTGAGAGCCAGTAAAGAAATGATAAAACTGGTGAGATACAAGAAAATTTTTTTGTCCCAGTCAAAAGCCTAGTGGCTGCATTTTGAACCAGCTGCAGGCGTGCAATTGAAGCCTGCAAAACTCCTGAATACAAGGAGTTGCAGTAGTCCAATCTGGACAAAATCAAAACATTGATGATGGATTCCAACTCTTTAAAAGGCAGAAAAGGTTTCAACTTGGCAATGTTCCTTCACTAATAGAAACCACTTTTGATGACTGAACTTATTTGCTTGTCAAACTTTAAATCAGTGTCAAAGATAATATGCAAGACTTTCTGCATGACTGCAGACCTTAGGCTTAAGCGAACCTAATTGATTAATTGTAGATTCACAGACACTCGGAGGGTCAAACACTAGCATCTGTATCCCAAGAATACTTTTGGTTTTTCCTCTGAAGTAGTAGTACATACTCTGTTCTTCCTTTAGACTGTTTTATTTAAATTGTATATTTGACTAGAAAACTAACAAAAACATTTTAAAAATTATATTTTTTAATTATTTTATTAAAAATGATAATGTTATTTACCGATAAAAAAATTCTTACTGGATTTAATTATTCCAGAGATGGTCTTCACTGCCACATGATCATTCAGAAATCATGGGAATACAATACTTTCCTGCTTTATTATAATTTTTTTTTCATCAAAGTTGAAAACTGTTGGCCTTTATCATATTTTATCTTATTAAAAAGAGAAGATTTTAATTAAAACAAATTCTGTTATTTCTTCATCAAAGATGCCTAAAAAGTAAAAAGTATCACGGGAAAAAACATCATTGACAATTTTCATCATCGACATTTATAAAATGCTTTATTAGGTATTGAGTACCAATAATGATTGATCATAACAGTAAATCAGTTTATTATACTGATTTTTGAATAATCAAGTGACACTAAGGACACTGTGACATTGGAGCAAATTAATTACTTTATGAAACAAATGAAAATCAGTTATTTTAAAAGTAAATAATATTTCACAGAAGACTTTGCAAAACAATAAAAAGTCCTCATTCCAGACATTTGATCAGTACTGTACACAGTATATGTGTGATAGAATACAAGTATGAGTAGAGGAAGTGTTTACTGAGAGCCGTACCTGCCGTGTTTCTTCAGCAAGGCCCTCAGGTCTTTTACACTGTCTAGGAGGAAGCGCAGCCGGAAGGGGCCAGTTTTGGGGAAGTTGTAGTGATATGTGCCCTGGTAATGGCGCGGGTCGAAGCAGTACAGCGGTATTATGTGCTCTGCATTCCTCTGAGCCCAGTGAAACACCTAAATGAATGTAGGAAAACCGGTTTCTCATGTTTCTTTAAGAACTTCAACAAAACTCAACTTGTCAAAGCCAGCACGGCATTTCAGAAAGTCACTGCTTATTTACACAGTCTAGTTCAGCATTTGTATTTTCTTCTAGGCAGGCCTGATAACATTGATTTCAAATATGGAATTTCAATAATTTTTTGGGGGGGCAAAAATCATTCATCCATTCATTTTCTTTTCTGCTTAGTCCCTTTATTAATCCAGGGTCGCCACAGCGGAATGAACCACCAACTTATCCAGCACGTTTTTACACAGCGGATGCCCTATTAGCTGCAACCCATCTCTGGGAAGGGCAAAAATTATAAATGGTCAAAATAATAAATATTTTCTTTTGTTGTGGCTGAAAATCAGGGTTAGTAAACCAACTGATCGCTGAACTCTTCTAAAGTTAAAACATTAGAATTGTGTTGTCTAAAATAAAATGCACACAAACATGTCAGAAAATATGCTACATTTGATTTATTTTTACACCAGTATATTACAGAATAAAACAAAAACGAAATCCAGAAAAATATAATAATTTATTTAGCCTATTAAAATAAGCATCTTTTATAATCAAATGTAAAGCATGATTTACATTTAAAAAAAATCCATCTATTTGAACTACTTAATTTTAAGATAATCTGATTAATATTTGTCAGTCAGATACACAGTAACAAAATAAAGAACCAATAAACCCATTGTGTTTATAAAACAACACACGGGTTCATGTCAATGATCTTCAATGTATAATGTGACCACGCCCGTTAGTGACGATTACAGACAAACCAACCAATAAGCGCCTGCATAATGCTTCACGTGGATATTATGTTTCGCAACACAAAAATAAACTTAGGAATTCAGTTTATTACTCTTTATGTATCCAGTTTTATGTAGTGTGTTATTAACGTTAATAGTAATACAAAGGCGTCATATAACACGTCATATAATACAATGTAATCGCGTGGTTCTGGCGCGAGAGTAGAAAAGCCTGTGCTCGCTTCTACTACAGATAAGAAAGATAGTATGTGGATGTTTGTAAGGTTTACCTCGTTATCATGCAGCCGCAGATCGTTCCTCAGCAGACAAATGACTGTACGGGAAGCGGACATCATGAAGACCGGCCTGTGAACACTGCAGAGCGGTCAGTTTACCAGGAAAGCGACTGAGTAGCACGTTTAGTAACAGGCGCGTGCTTGTGGGCTTACCAAACATGAAGACGCGCGCACGCACGTGCTCTTCGCACCACGCTCAAACATAGCTATTTTCACACATATGAAGATGATTAGGCGTGTCTCAAGAATTCTGAAGCGTCTGGTTAAAAAAAAAAAAAACATTTCGGAAACGTGAGGAAATGATATATAATAGTATACACGTTTTTTTTCATTTAAATAAACAATACTCTTGTCGACCAGACTGTAAAAATAGCATAGTAGCAACAAAAACATCGCACAAAACAATTTTCGAGATGTAATTATAACAAAATAATGATAATAATTATTATAATAATAAATTTCTTCTGTACAAAAATCCCATTTAAAAAAATGTATATATATATATATATATATATATATATATATATATATATATATTTTTTTTTTTTTTTTTTTTTTACAAAAATAGAAATTACAAAATAGTTTACACTCTAAATGAACTGTTTTCTGTTAATCATTTCATTATTATTAGGTTTGACTGTCTCAGTAAACTTACTTCATAAATATCTCTAGACTTGCTTAAACTGTCTTAACAGAAATAAATGACAAAATGTAATAAAAACTTTAGTAATTATTTATTTTACATTTTACTGTACTAGAACAAATAATGAGACTAATCTTAGATTATGACTTTTAACAAAGAAAGCATTAAATTAATGTTAAAAAAAATATTTTTTACATAATTCATTTGCAGATGACACTTAATATGATAATATATTTTTCTATTTGGCCAAAAGTCTCCAAATATGTATCATAAGTATGAGACTCCTTTCAAACATGTAGCAGAATATTCATCTTCATTACGTAACTGAAAAGTATTTTTCACATTTTAAATAAAAATATAAATAAGTAACAATTATAACAACAACAAAAGCAAATAGAATAAAATAAATAAACTATTTTTTAAAATAAACAAAAATACAACAGAAGCAGAACAGATTTTAGACAATAAATTTATTTATTCCAATGTACAAAATCACTGATAAATGTTTCCAGGCTTTGTCATGAAGGCAGCACAGAATGCTTCATTGTCAGCCCCTCAAAAACCAGCATGATCTGAAAGCAGATCTTCACAATCGTTAGAATATACTGGGACTAAGGTACTTTGAATATAATGAAACATTATGACAGCTCGATACAGCATGTATTTACAATACAATCATGTTTCAGCAAATGTCCTTGCGTGAAGGACATCAGACAACACATTCCTCCTTTATGCGTTTGTAAAACGACAGAATAAGGGCATCAGAAAAGGCACAAACTGCAACACGGATTGCTGCTGGTGTATTTTGTCACTGTCAAACATCATACTATCAAGCTGAACATGTACACTGACACCAAATGAAAACAATAATATGTCTTATAAAACAACATACGTCCATTTTTGTTTTCATTTTCATGATTGCAGAACAACAAAAGTGTTTGTACATCTGAGTCCATAAAAAACAACAGGTTTAAAAAACAAAACAGAGACTCTTTCAAAAGTGACCAAATTCATAATTCAAGCATATGATTTGCTCTTTGGTTGTTTTCGACTGACCGAACAGTACGAGAATGCAAACACACCAGTTGTAGTAGTCTACTCTCAAATATTGCTTTTGACACTTTAGGGTAATTTTTATAGTAATAATACAAAACGTTTGGTATTCTCGCTCCAAACACGACTTAAAAAAAACGTATAAAAATATGCATTGACTCTCAGCGGATTATCCTATGTGTGCTTTATGCATGAGTGCAATGGGAATGTATTTACAGTGATTACCTCAGGGTAAAGAGTGCTTTCACTTAAACTTTACATTAAACATATATAGAAAGAAAGAGTGTTTATACAGTCTTCATTAGCTGAAAAAAGACACATATCTCTCTCTCGGACCACTTTGGTGGTTGCATATGCCTTATTGTGTGTCTTTCTTATTCTGGTTAGATTCTAACCATCGAACACAGTAATCTTAACTAAACAAAATTACTCAAATGAGTATTGTACAGTACATCTATGCGTATATTTGCTCCATGAGGTGTTTGTGATTGGAGCCAGGGATGAAGAGGTACATAATCAAAATCAAATGGATTCTGCTATACAAAAAAACAACACATTTTAATAACATCATTTTGTGCCAGATTGGGAGCGTATGTGATTTGTCCAGGAGCCCCTGCTGGTTTTAAGTGCATCAGAGGTTCAGATAAAGTCAGCCCGGTGCTAATGCATGTAAACTGTGCTGATGTTTTGGCCCATCTGTGCCAGTATATGAAGAGTCTGTACTTTAGCTGCATTCTTACTAAGTCCTACTGTTGTCTCCGTCCCAAATGACACAACCACTAGATCACTGTGTCCACACTCTGGATCAGGGTGTCCTTATTAAAGAAAGCATTTTTTTGTTTGTTTGTTTGTTTGTTTGTTTAAATGTGACTTTACTGTTGTAGATATTTGATGTAGTTTTAAAATGTCATGTGGTGTAACCATCAAGTTATGTCTACACTATTTGCCTCAATTATTTACAAATATTAATTAATATATATATGCATATCACAAATGATCAATTTTGAAATATGATTAAAGATTTGAGTTGTTAAACAGCATGACATTTAGCATATGTACTACCAGTCAAAGGTTTGGGGTCAGTAGGATTTTTAAATGTTTTAAAATAAGTTTCTCCTGCTCAACAAGGCTGCATTTATTACATCAAAAATACAGCACAAATTGTAAAATTGTGAAATGTTATTGCACTATAAAATAACTGTTCAAAAGTAGTTTATCATTCAATTTAATAATTTTATCCAGTGATTTTAAAGATGAATTTTCAGCTTCATTACTCCAGTCTTCAGTCACATAATCCTTCAGAAATCATTCTAATATTTATTATTATTATATAATAATAAATATTAGAATCTATTATTATATTATATAATAAGGCAGCAGTTATTTAAAAATTTTAATAAATATTTAACAATAAAAAAGACATTTAATAAATGTTACCTTGATTAACAGAATAATAAAAAAAAAACTGAAAAAAATAAAATAAAATAGACCCCAAACCTTTTACCTAACTTTTTGACTTTTGATATCATATTTACTAATGTTACTTTTCAATTTCTGAAGAGATTCATTAAATGGTGACAGACTAAAGTGATACGAGTTGGCTAACAATACCTTTTTCAATCCATGTGTTTTTGAATATTTTTCGGAAATCAAATAAAAAAAGAGGCTATTATATATTAAAATGTGCTGCACAAAGTGGGGGAATATAAAAATGCTTAACTCAGAAATATTATTAAGGTTTTGGGGGAGTCACGCCACATGACATTTCACAACCTGAAATACTTGAATGTTTTTATCTACTATTTATTATTAGTTTAAATTTCATGCCAAACAACATAATTCTTTCAAAATCGATACTTGAGGCTTTTATTATTGTGACAGAAACAAATACTGCCCGCTCTCACCGTCATTTGAAGTATCTATACCAGGGGACTAGGGTTTAGCTCCAACCCTAATCAAACACACCTGAATGAACTAATCAAGGTCTTACTAGGTATACTTGAAACACCCAGCCAGGTGTGTTGAAGCAAGCTGGAGCTAAACCCTGCAGGGACACCGGCCCTCCAGGACCGAGATTGGTGACCCCTGATCTATACTGTTTCACAGATTGCGATGATGCATTTACAGAGTTTCACTTTGAAAAAGATACAGTTAAAACACTGTGCATTGTAACATTATGTCTTATTAGATAAATTAACACTGCGGTGAGAATCTAATACAACACCTGATTTGACTTCATTCAATCAATGTCTACATATGTGTTTTCATGGAAGGTTATGGTACTTTCCTATGCTTTTGGTGCAAATGGGAATGTAAAAACTACATTTGCTGTCATCTCTCGTTTACCGTACACTTAAGTTACGCATCATTGTTTCAGGTCCAAATGCTCTTCCGGTGCCAAAAGCCAATAAACAAATGGTACTAATGTACACTCTCAGCAAGTTGTACACATTACATGTGGATAGATGTTTAACTAGTTATAGCCAGTTGAATATATTCCGTTAGCAAAAATAGAAGTTAGAGCAGTTGACTTGCAGCATTGGCATCCCAGGTAAAAAAAAAAAAAGTGCACTAAAATGCACTTTATTTAAGTATACTTAGTACACTTTTCAGTAATGTACTAAAAGTGCTCTATTTTCGCACACTAATTGTGTACTTAATGTACTAAAAGATAGTATTACGTATATGTTAAGATAAACTTAATACCATCTAAGTGTACTCAACTGTGCTATTTTGAGACACCTTGAAATTGAACTAAAATGTGCTTGTAACACTATATCTGTATTTTAAAAAAATATATATTGTTACAACTAGAAATACACTTGAACCTCACTTTTAAACATTTAAATATATGTATGACTAATTTAAAGTATAATAGTAATATATTAAAAGAATATACAAATTGTAAAAAAAAAAAAGTGTGTTAAATACTGTATTAAAAGCATTTTGGGAAAATGTAGTTCTACTACAATACATTACTAATAGATTTTTAATAAAGTCAATTTAATGTAAACTTAAAATTACCACACTCCAAATCAATTTAAGTGTTAGTGATAATTGCATTCACATTAAGTGTACTTAAGTACAACTTTTGGGAAAATGTACTTCTACTACAATACATTACTAATAGATTTGTTATATTAACTTATTTTAAACTTAGGATTAGTATGTAAACAGTGTACTAAAATCAACTAATGTTTAAAGCACTTAAAGCACACTTTTGAAAAACACACTAATAAAACTCTTTTGGATGTTTTTTCTGTAGTGTACTTTATTGTAGTACACTAAAAATTTATTTAAGTATTACTGGTATTTAGTATACTTTTGTCAAGTGTACTAAAGTCCTACTGAAGTATAAAAAAAACTTTTAATTAGTATATTTATAGTTTAAAACCATCAAACTTTTATTTAACACAAAAAAATAACAATGTACTAAAAATGTATTTGCGGGTATTTAAGTGTATTTTAATTGCATCCAATTATATATTTTTTTCACCTGGGATAGGCCTAATAGGCGCCAATGAACATCACTTGTCCTGCCCCCACTCCACCGAGAATAAAGCCACGATCACACTAGCATTTGAGCTTACAAAATTCTGTAGTATGACTGCTGCGAAATGGCGCAGTTTAAAACAAGATGATTAGACGTTAAAATATGGAGCAATCACTCGCTTTATCAAATTTCTGAACAAAGAGGTCATGAACTTTCGAACAAAGCGACAAGCAAAACTTGTCACAAGAGCCTGCGTTTCCAGTCTGTTGCATTTGCAAGTGTATTAATGGAAGTCTATGAGGTGAAAAGTGCACTGTGATGATGTTACAGCTTGACGTTGTGTTACCACTATGACGTCTATCAGATGTTGGATTTTGGTTGTCATACCTGACGAATAAATGTCAGTACTGAATGTCAATACGACATTGGTTTAGGATGTTAGCTCGACTTCGGATTTTGGTCACTTTCCAACACAACCTAAAATCAACCAAATATCAAGGTCATTTGACGTCATTTTTGGACATCAAAATAACGACACAGACACTGGCTAGACATTGAATTTTGGTCACCTGACATCCCAATCTAAATCTAACCTAATATTAGCATCTTATGAAGTTGTGTGCCTGCTGGTAGGGTAATGGAAATCCACAGTATGACTTTAATCTTCAAACCACAAAATAGATCCATTAAGTAAACGGGAAACCCATCAATCTCAACTGAAGTGTGTCATTTGGGACAGAGCCATGAGGAACTCTGACTACCAATATGAGAAGTGCTATCATTGGTTTACCTCAGTTTTAACATGATAGTTTTGTGTGTGATTTCGTTCGTTCATATCCCCTTTGCATGGTCGTGTTTGTTCTTGGTTGGCTGGTCGGTGGGTTTCTCTGGACCTTGAAGGCAGGAGTGGTGATGGTTTTCCCTGGGCGTCTGCACGATCAGAAGCTGCCCTGGACAAACGGATGGCTGAGAAGCCCCTCGGCGGTGGGACGCCATTTCTCCTCCACAAAGATCTGTCTCAGGAAGTCTCTGCATGCGTCAGAAACTCCCTCGGGCAGGTTTGGCTTTGTCGGCTGAGTGGCGATCTTGAAAATGGCTGCCATTGCTTCATATTCAGCCCAAGGGGGCTTCTGAGTTAGCATCTCTACCACTGTGCATGCAACACTCCTGAGGAGACAGAGACAGGGGCTATTAGGTTACAACAGCATTATTTCAATTCAATTCTTGTGTGAACTTTGGGAAGTTGCATTAAAAAAAAACGCTGAATGACAAGGACAAAATGAGCATTCATTCTGTGCTAAATTGATCTACAAAAGACAATTAATAACCCCGGAATTGCAAGTTTTAAACTAAAAATTGAGAGAAATAAATTTTAATCAGAATCATTTGAAAGCCTTTACTTAATTTGAAAGAATTTACACACAAAAAAAAGGATGAAATGAGACTTAATTGCAAGATTTTAACTTTCAATGTCATTAGTGTGAAATTTTACTTTACTTTTTTGTTCTGGAGTGAAAATAATGTTACAAAATATGAAATTATTTAACAAAAAATGTGCATGAAATACATTGTTTTTGAAACACATTTTTAGGTCCGCAACAAAAACACAAGAGATTATGTGACTGGATAGAGAATATCTGAACTAACCAACGCACCAATCACATAATGTTTTAGAAAACTGCAAAATGCATATTAGGAAATAATAAAATTGAAATGTATTGCACATTTTTGTACATGTATTATGGACATAATGCATGTTTTTGCAGATTAAACCTAAAACATGGTTTAATTACAGTATTATTGTCAGAATAGCTTATATAAATTCTATATTTTTCTCTTCTTATTAGTTAGTTGCTGTAGGGTGTTTTATTAAATGTTGAGTTATTATATCAATCTTTTAATATTGTGGAGGATATTGGGTTTTTTTTTACATAAAAACAAATAATTTGGTACATCAAATAAAAATATAACATTTAAAATATGGTTTACCCTAACATTAAACTTATCATTTACTTAACCCTAAATTATTCCCAATCTATATTAATATTTTGTTTTTATATTGAAAGCAAAAGAAAGTATTATTGGCCATGAATTGGGACTCTGTAAATATAAGGGGTAAATAACGGTCGTGCCCAACAGAGCCAGGTTTCTTTTAAGGTATTTTTTTCCCTTCACTTTGTCAATTGCTGTTTTAGTCTTTCTGAAATTTCAAAGCCAAAGTTTATCAACACAATGAATTTGTTTACTTACTTTGCAGAACTATTAATATGACTTTGAGCATTTGGCATTTAAACTTTTTGCTTTTTTTTTTTTTTTTTTTTTGGACATTCTGAGATGCAATTTTTTTCATTATTTATGACAAAAAAAGTAATTCATATTCCCCATTGCAGCAATATTTATATAAAAAAATGTTAGCACAAATTTTACTAGAAAATCTACTTTCGTCGTTTTTTTTACCAGGAATTTTTAACTTTCGTTCTTCTGAACACATGCAGTATTGCTCCAAATTGACCATTTTAATTTGCAATGTTCAATAGAAAGCACACAAGTGTTCAAAATGCATCATCTCTTACCAAATATCTGCTTTGCGTCCGTATCCTTCTCCATTAATGACTTCAGGGCTCATCCAGTAGGGGGTGCCGGTGACCGACTTGATCCCCGTCCCAGACATGCAGATGGTCTGAATGCGCTTACTGGCTCCGAAATCTCCCAGTTTCACATTTCCAGAGGAGTCCCTCAGAATATTTGCACCTGACAGGAAACACGTGTAGGCTGAGTTACACCAACTGACATGTTTTTCTGACCAACATGACGATGAAAACTATAAGACGTCTATGGCTGATGGCGTTTGAGGTTTGAGACATGACCGTTCTGCCCACACTTGATTTTCCATTGCTTTAGTTGTGTTGCCTGTGAGATTTGAGCTTGTTTGAGTAGTGACTAATTCCTACCAGCCACAAGATTTCCACACCCTGGAAGTCTCGCTGTATTCTGAACGGAAAATTAAGACCAAACGAGTGGAAGAAGAGAGAGAGATGTTTTTTGTGTGAATATTTCTAAGAGGATCTTCAGTTTGTTATGGGAATGAAATGTCCACATTAAATGCCTAAATGTGACTCTATTAGATAAGAATTTTGCAAAGAAATCTTTCAGGAGCACTTAATCATTTACTCTTGTAAATTAGACCAATGTACATATTCAAAATGAGTTGAATTTTGGGACAACCTAATTGTTTCATGTTGAATCCACTTAAATTTGTAAAAATGATTAAATGAACTTAACAGATTTGTGTTGGGACAACATGAAGGATTTGTGTGGAATCTAGCATTTTTTGCATTGAGGGTGTCTTGAATGTTTCTAAAATGTTTCTCTTTGTTTATTTAATTATATTAAGGAAATATGGAAATCTTCCAAAACTATCAGTCAATCTGTGGTCAGTTTAATTGTAAAAAAGTGTATAATAAGAACTGTAAGAAATGTTGGGGCTTTTAATTAGAAACTGCCACATACATCTAAAGAAATAATCAAATTCAAATATAATGCACATTTGACATAATGCATGTTTTTGCACATTAAACCTAAAACACGATTTAATTACAGTATTATTGTCAGAACAGCAGATTTAAATAGTCTTGATTCTTTATCTTCATCTTCTTATTAGTTGCATTTGTGTTTTGTTAAATGTTGAATTATTAAATGAATTTTGTAATATTGTGCAAAATAATTCTTTTTAGCATAAAAACAAATCATTTGGTACATCAAGTAAAAATATGCCATTGAAAATATTGTTTACTCCAAAATTAAACTTCACATTTACTAAATCTTAAGTTTTACCAACATATATAAATTATGTTTTTTTGCAAAAGAAAATATTATTGGCCTTAAAATGGAACTCTGTAAAATATAAGAAAAATGCTGTTTATATATATATATATATATATATATATATATATATATATATATATATATATATATATATATATATACAGTTGAAGTCAAACTTATTCACCCTCCTGTGAACTTTTTTTCTTTCTTTTTTAGATATTTCCCAAATGATGTTTAACAGAGCAAGGATTATTTCACGGTATTTCCTATTATATTTTTGGCTAGAGTAAAGCAGTTTTCAATTTTTTAAAACGTTTAATGGTCAATATTATTAGACCCCTTAGGTTCATTCATTCATTCATTTCTTTTTGGCTTAGTCCCTTTTAATAGTCAGCAGTTGCCACAGCGGAATGAACAGCCAACTTAGCCACTATATGCAGCATATTACGCAGCAGATGGCCCTCCAGCTGCAACCCAAGACTGGTAAACACCCATACACTTGCATATAGACCCCTTAAGAAAAAAAAATATATACACACACACACACACGCACGCACGCACACACGCACACACGCACACATATATATATATATATATATATATATATATATATATATATATATATATACATACACACACACACACACACACATACATACAAACATACATACATACAATTTTTGACTGTCTACAGAACAAATGACTACAGAACAAATGAACAAAATGATCTTCCTCATTAATCCTTCACTTTCACTTTAGGCTAAGTACTAGTATCTTGAAAAATGTCCAGTAAAAAAATTCTGTACTGTCATCATGGCAAAGATAATGAAATACATATGAAAAATGTACAGCAGGCTAATAATTAAGAAGAGCTAATAATTCTGACTTGTCTGTGTATATAATTTGCCAATGTTAAAAGTTCAAGACACACTGGAGTACTTTTTAACAGATTTGTGTGTGCTGAGCAACAGTTAAGACAACGTTAGGACCTGTCAGCTTTAATTGTGGAGAAAACTGGATAATTTGGAGCTTTTATCAGTTAACCTTATGTTCCGGGTTTAAAATCAATTTTGCATTGGAGAATGGCGAACTTTGTCTTTCATCAGTTGAGTTTGTCATTATATATACAAATCTTCTATTGGTGCTGCTGTGTTTAAAATCCTCCAGATTACCAGCAGAGGTTGGACTAGTGGTTGGACTAGATGGGGGAAAAGACATGCTGTACTGCTGTCCATGTTGTCTGCATTCAGATCCAGGTATTGAGGAGGAGAGAAGTCCTCATTTAGTGTTTATATAAACATGATTATCTCTATGATGAAATAACAAAATGTGGTTATATATTTTATAAAATTACGAATAGCCTATCGTAGATGCCACAGCATTAAATTACTTACTGGTTATTTCTTTGCATTTTAACTGTAAACTATAAAATCATGGGTTTCCTCATATTTTGTACAGTTTTTTTTATTTATTTTGAGCTGGTGAGCCAACTGACAAAAGCCCTTCTTTATCCCCTGCTCTGCCGGCCACTCCTCTGCTCACAGCGCTCCACGCCCATCATAAAGCATTTTTTGAAAAAATTCTGAGGTAGACTTGAACTAAAAGAGTGGGGGGGTTCATGACCCTTTAAAGACACCCACTGTATTCCAGGCACTGTTGAGCAAATGGCACTTTCAGTCTTTCAGATTTACATCGCAAAGCACATCTACTGTTATTATCTAGAGGAGATTTATGACTTCCGTGATTTACCTTTGATATCTCTGTGCACAATCATGTTGCTGTGTAAATAGTGAACTCCCTGTAGGATCTGCCGGGTGTATCTGCGGGTCACTTTCTCTGTGAGTGCTCCGTAGGCCTTCAGCTGGTCTTTAATAGAGCCCTGCACACACACAGAAAACACTGATTCATCATACCATTCAATACAGGTAACTAAATAGGAATGTAGACTGAATTCAGATACAGTAAATAAAGTGTACGTGTTATTTTAAAAACAGAAAGGTGTATATGTATATTTATAGAAATGTTTTTATTAGGAAACCTGAAAACAAGCTGTCAGCACATGCTTTGACAGGAAACATAAAAACAGGATTTAAAGCTGTTTACCAAAGGATACAGTGCAATGGAAAATTATATGACCCCTTCCTGATTTCAGATTTTTTAAAACTGTTTATACTGTATGCATGCAGTTAAATGTATTTTAGGTGCACATTATTATGCTGTGTAACTTATATTATGTAGCAAGTTTAAACGTGTGCTGGGACTTTTCACCCTGATAGATGATAAAAATTATAACAAGTTTTTCTCCTTTATCTGCAACAGAAGTACAAATAAATGGGTGAAAGACAAAAATAGACTTTAGATTTAGTATTTCTTCTTAAACATTAGAATGTATCCTGTTTAACGTTTTTCATATTTTTTATATGCAGAGCATTTACCTACCCATATTTAACATATTTTACACATGTAGAATATGTATACACTCAATGAATAATAATATATAATTAAATATTAAATGTTTTGGAATAGAAAATGCATAAACATAAATTATTTTTAAGATGTTAATAAAATACATTTATTTATCATTTTTATGAAACCATGACTTATTTGATGAAGGATTTGATGACAATGCAACAACAGTTCTATCATTTATTGTATTATTATTATTATTTATTCTGTTATTCTATCATTTATTCTATAGTATATTTGTGTTGACTTTATCAAATAAATGTAAATGAATACAAAAATTTCAAATGATTATTTGCTAAAAATTGGTGTGTTTGCCAGGAAGTCACACTAAATTGTGTTTACAAAGCTGGAGCTGGAAGTATAGAGTTCGTCAGAACACTGAACTGTTTTTAACTTTCTGGAAAAACAGATCTTAGTGCCAAGCGTTCCTCACATGTGTCTGCATTTCTTTGAAACACTGGCCCAAACAAAAAGTTCATATTTCCTCTGCTTTCCTGTTTACAGCCCTCGCCGAAGAAACAATGTCCTCTCAAGGACAACACAGCGAAACACCTGTGACGCAAACTACAATGAGACAAGCTGCAGCGCCTTCCTAGCAACACAAACCCCTTCAAACTGTCCTCTTCAATGCATTAAATCAAAGCACATGTAATCCTACTGTAATTCACTCTGATCCTTCATTACGCAACATATTTCTCACCTCATGCAACCCTGTTGCCACTGATTCAACTCTTTGGCTGTTTCTGGTTTTTAGTTTAGTTTATTCCATGCACAATATTAATAGAACTAGTAAAAAACGTCAAACTTTATATATAGTAACCATAAGTATGTACTTACATTTAATTTAATCGTTTGGAAAAATGCACTAATTGTGTCTACACATGTTTTTACATTTGACATATTTGAAAAATAGCCGGGCGTAATAACATCGGTTATTAATTAGTTATTAATGACACTGTTAAACCATACCTCACATCTTAACCCACCTTTAAACCAACACATACCTCTAAATATGTCCTTAACTATACCTGTATCCCATCACAGTAGCACCATTTATGTATGTATTAACACTGTAGTCAGTTTATATAAAGGCCAATTAATGTAAAGTGGGATCAAAAAAAAAATTATTACGTTTAGGGATGTTGTTTATGTTCACACATCTACATAACAGATCAACTAAAGCTTAAAATATGATATGTAGTGTCATATATAAAATATGACTTAGCGGACCAACCATTTAAATGGGATGCTAGCAGAATAGTATGGTAAAATACAAAAGAATGCCTGCAAAAAACATGAGAGTTGACAGGTATGGTTAATGTCATAGAATATGTCTAGAAAACCTGATGATAGGCCCTAAAAATAGTCCCGGTGTGCTTAATCTGGTCAAGATTTGCCTGGAACTTCTTTAGCTGTGCATTTATCTGAACACAGCTGCACACCTTAGAATGCCCTGTTCAGCAGCTTTGTAGTGTAAATAAATGTAAATAACTCTAAACTGAGAATAATGTATGTTTGTTTCTTGTGTTGTTTTAAGGACACACAGCAGTGCTGAGCAGAGATGCATGTGTCCGCCAGGGACTTTAGTGAAACATTGGCCTGTACCAGACACTGCATATTAAAGTGAGCTGATGGATGGGACAGAGCTCGTCTGACGCTCATTAAGGCCTCCATTTGTGGAGAAAATGAACTTGTAAAGCCGTGTGGTTGTGCTGACACAGAACACTGTGGTTACATTCGCAAGCCAGTGACATTTTAAAGTGAGTTTTTCATTTATTTGGAAAGCACAGATTCATTGTTGGTTTAACAATGTTGTAGCTGAAACGCAAGGAGGCACTGAGAATGTACTTTATTCCCATATGCGAGCTGTTGTTTGCGCTAAAGGAAATATGACTCAGTCCTCTTGATTCTGAAGCTACCTAGAATCCAATTCCAATTTGTTTGATTCAGGTTGATTTTGCGTTTGAGATTGCACATTGAACATATGTATGAAACAAATTCTGCCTTTGATAGTAATTCAAAAATTAGTAATTTAAAAATTGGTCACACTATACATATTTTGAATCACTAAAACAAAAACTGATTCATAAGAGTCCATAGTGAATTGAGCTACACTAGCTGTTTTAGATTTTGATTCATGTTGAAATTTTAGGATTTACAAAAAAAGGTTCATACATGCCTCACTTGTTTGTTTGTTTTGCGAATCATGCTATACTGATCTTGCTATTTGTTTTGATTCACTAAAACAAACTCATAAGTGTTTGTTCATATATCATGCTCCCCTTTATAACTGTATTTTTTTGATTCAGTAAAAGGAGCTTCTTCCTAATAATCATTAGTCCATAAATTATGACACTTTTGTTTTGATGGAATGGAATTTTAATTGCATTATGAAAAAATTCCAATTTTGAAAAAAATCACCTCTTTCAGAATTATGCTACATAAGTTTTGCCATATATTTTGATTTACTATAGCAGTGGTCTGCAACCCCCGAGCCGTGGACTGGTACTTGTCCTTGGATCAATTGGTAACGGGCCGCACAAAAAATCATTCATTATTCTCGTTTTATTTATTATCTGAGTTTATTTTGAAAAGTCTTTTATTCTGTAAAATTACTGTATTCTCTCGGTTACATCTCGGTCATTTGAGCACCAAAATTTACCCCCCAAGCTAGCAAAATGAGTAAGAAACAGACGTCTTTGGAAAATTTCTTTGTGAAGAGGAAAAAGCCCAGTGAAGCACCCACAAACTGCCGAGAAATTAATCCGCAACCCATTTGTCAAGAAATCAGGTGAATCCAGCATGTCTGTGCAAAAAGATCAACTGCTGAAGATCACAAATGATGGCGGCCTTGTTCACATATCGCGTCTTTACCGTGCACAAGTTCATTATCCACTTGTTAAGTTGTGACGTATGGAATACTGTTTCCGGGTCCAAGCCGCTTGTTTAAATTGAGAAAATATCTGTTTATGACCACTTTTTAGTCATACCACACATTAAAGAGAACTTTATATAAAATCATGGTGTACACATCAGTCTCTGGACATGCTGCATCTCAGACACCAATAATTTCACAATATATAAAAAGGCACACCCAATTGAAATCTCAAAACTTTTCAGAATGCCATAAGCACATTTAAACATTTCGGCAGACTAATTAACACTGCACTGCTTTTGAAATTTTCTCCATAAATTAAAAAAAAAACAAAAAAAACATAAAAACGGTTGATTGTCACCTAGCAACAACCTCCACCCTGGCCACAGAAAATTGACAAGCTTTAATCGGTCCGCAGTAATAAAAAGGTTGGGAAACACTGCACTAAAGGACTGCGTTAATGAACCTTGCAACACTGGTACAGTCTTCAACAGAAAGACATTACTTTATTTTTTTTTTCAACAGAAAGATATTTGTAATTTGACTTTACAGTGCAGTCACTTGTCATCTTGTCCGTTAGTGGATACTGTGAAAAAAGGGAAACTAACTTTTACAAACAAAAGGAACTGCTAAAGGTATTTTCCTTTTTAGTATTGTGAATTACACATTTGTTCAAACAGATATAAAATAGATCATTTTATAGTTTTTTTTTTAAAGTTATTACAGTAATTCCTTTCACACAAGCAACCCTGTAGTGTTCCATTGTTGAATTAATTTAACTTTGTATGAAATGAGTGAGCCAATGATTCACTGACAGTTGCATGCTTCATTTCTAAATGAATCTACTAAACTAATCTTATAAACGAATCACTTGAATTCAATGATTCAATGAATATGTTGCCATCAGCCTGAAATTTCAGCGTAATTTTTGAGTTCCAACAATAAACAGCACAAACACAACCAATTCTTTAGGAAGAATACATACCCCAGGCATGAATTCCACAAAAATAGACAGCTTTTTCTGCACAGGATCCCGCAAACAGCCGTAGTACTGCACTATACGCTCGTGATGCAGATTCTTTAAAAGCTGGATCTCACACTCCAGCGCATTCACCTCCTGCACACAAAGACAAACATTAAAAACGGAGCATTTCTTTAATATATAAATCCTGTCACACATCAGACTCACCTTGCTGGTCTCCTGACACTCTGGGTCAAAGGGCACCTGTTTGGCTGCCAGCTCGCGCCCCGTATCGACATCGTAGCAGAGATACACCACCCCGAAAGCTCCTCGACCTAGCAGCTTCCCCTGACGCCAGTTCACCGGAGCCCTTGGCGCTTAGGGTAAAGAAGAAACAAACCACGTTAATGTAAGCACGACCGCAGACTGCAACTCAAACCAGGCTCAATCACACACACAGACTGGCTGACGACACGGAGTCAAACCACAACTGTATTTACAACTCACTACAGATTTACACGTTCATATTTATATGCAACTGCTCCCCTTTTCGGCAATAAACTATGATTTAAATGAACACTGTGAAAGATGGTGAGCTATTGGTTAAATATTACACAGCTGAGTATTACATATTCAAATCATTTTGGACATGTTAATATATAATCTAATGTTTGGAAGCTCTCTTTTTTTACGACATCTCCAGAATGACTTTCTTTATATTTTTGCTATTGTTCTATAAGCATGCTGTATGGATCTAATCATAGACAGGTCTGGATGCAGTTAAAACTACACCCCAAATACTCAGCAGACAAGATTTATGCATGTCTCAGGCGCTTTTCCCACTTCTTGCATGACGGACACATTTGCGTCAGCATTTACGATAATCTTAATCAGCTTAGTGCTGCTGTAATGATATTTGACATGAAGCTATTGGGATAGTTTATAGTTTATGGAGGTTTTAGGGGTAGAAAACCCGCAAGCAGACAGCGGAGACGAGCATCCATGTGCATAAGTCAAATTTAGGCGCCTGTCTTGGATTCCTCGGAGGAAATGGAGTTGATTAAAGAACATGTTTGCAGAATGCAGAGCTCAAACACAGACACACCATCCAGATACAGCATCTCTGATAGAGACGGTCAACCTGAACATCTAGTTTCATGATGAGTGATTTCATTGGATGATACACACACACACACACACACACACACACACACACACACACATATATATATATATATATATATATATATATATATATATATATATATATATATTTTTTTTTTTTTTATAATAATTATTAATAATTCATGATTAATCATGAAACGCCATAATATTTAACGAAAAAAAAAAACAGGCATTTAAGTGCCATTTGAATTTCAAAACAATCAATGCCTATAACAAACAAAAATGATTTCCATGTTGGATTCTAAGTGGACTTAAAACACACACACGCAATATAGCGCACACTAGGGTTGCCACCCGTCCCTTGAAATACGGAATCGTCCTTTATTTGAGAATGAAATTTCGCATCCCGTTTTGAATCAATACTGGACGGGTTTTGTCCCGTATTTTCATAATTCTTTTAAAGTAGCTTTTCATGCAAATCATCCCACACACATTTACTGAATATGCCTCATGTCCTACTTTTGATTGGGTAATACTTGATGTCATTGTTAGTTTGATTGGTTTTTGTCCAGTGAGGAGGGCAGTTCTAAGCAAGTCTTGACAGAGATTAATGGCAGATGGTTCTCCAGGTAACCCTCCGCGTCTTAAAGTTTCCCAGTTTAAATGCAATCGACTGCAAAAGTACCGCAGAGAGTGGGAGGAAAGAGATACCTGGCTGCAGAGTGTTAGGAATTATTATTAAGCTACTGCACGATTTGTCGGAGAGCGTTCTCTGTGGCCTATGCGGTCTGTGGGACAACATGCCTCTGGAGAGCAGCATTCCCGCAATGACAGCTCGCAAAAATCAAAGCAGTCAGACTGTTCTCCATGCCCCAAGTCTCTCCCGAAGCAGACATGGTAATGACAGTGACCTAGTCTGTAAAATCTAGCTGAGTCTTCTTTTTTTTTTTTGGTAATTTAGTGTTTTCTACATGAAATAAAGAACAGTCTGTGAAAATAATAATAATATATGTATTTAATATTAACTGAGTAAAACCATGTCAACAACTGAAATCAAGGGGAAATGAATGGCTACAGTCAAACATTATCTCAGAATTAGATGTGGCCTGGTTTTTACCCTTGGGCACAAATTGTAATTTGTAAAAAATTTTGTAAATACAATGCAAGTGGATCATATTCCTAATTGATCAAATATTTTTTTTTACAGCGTCTAATGTTTATGTATGTGCTGTTTTCATGTTTGGATAGGGGATACTGCAAATAATGACAAACATTTTAGCCAAAATCTGTTATCAATTCTACCCTTTAAAATTAGGTTCATTAGTACTTTCTTCTCTCCTTTAGGTTACAGCAGCTGAGTTAACGCAATTGTGTATTAAACATAACGCCAGCTTTATCAGTGCTGCAGAGTTCTAAAAAAGAAAGACTGACTGCATCAGTTTACACAGAATTAAAAAACATTTTATTTTAATGTTTAAGTGTTCATACTTTTCTGAAAACATATTTTAAGTTAAGATTTACCCAGTAGTAAATTTTGGAAAAAATTGTAGGGGTAGGGTAGGGGGTATTTTTGTGTATCAAAAGTGGTAACCCTAGCGCACACGGTGAGCGAGAGATCCCTTTAGATTCATTAACACGCATAATCGCATTCATCAAATTTCCTTAAACTAAGTGTTCTAAAGTATGGCTGTCTTTTACAAGCAAGGATTCTGGCACAGCAACTTGAAGCAGACGCTTTACAAAAGTTGCGTATAGGGGGACACACGTCAGACTTATGAAATGTGAGGACTCATGGAAGTAGCTTTAGGCAGATAGGCCATATCCTGAGCTGCTGCTGCGCTGATGGTCGTGGGGAGTGGAGAACGTGAGTCTGATTCCAGCGACGCTCCAGGGACAGACGAGTCTTCGCTGAGGCCATCTTCCAGCCTCAACCACGGCGAATGAAGCTCTGCACAAGACTTTTGGCCAGCGGAGAAATTAAAATGGTCGTTCCCAACTGAGTCTGGTTCTCTCAAGGTCTTTTTTTCTTCACTCCCATCAGGTGAAGTTTTTTTTCCCTCTCCGCTGTCGCCACTGCCTCGCATGGTTCAGGATTGGTAGAGCTACGCATCGATGAATTGGCTCTTCAGTGTTTGAACTCTCAGTAATGATTAAATCACACTGAACTGAGCTAAACTGAACTGAACTGAACTTAAACACTAAAACCTGAACCACACTGTTCCAGTTACTATGACCATTTATGTGAAGCTGCTTTGACACAATCTACATTGTAAAAGCGCTATACAAATAAAGCTGAATTGAATTGAATTGAATTGAAGATAATAGGGCTGTCTTTGACAGCTTGCGACTTCATCTGCCACTTTCACTACAGTACATTTACATGGACACCAACACTCCGCTTTTATGATTAAGATAATACTGATTAAGAGTCTACCATGTAAACAGCGATTTTTACCTTAAAGGAAATAGAGTCACTTGCTTGTGAATCAGATTCCACTGCTCACACTGTAAGCATTTGATTCACTACAAAAAATTATTCATCCGAATCACTTCTGAATCAAACTACACGGCTCACACTGCATGATTACGCTTTGGATTAACTAAATACACTTTGCATTAGAGTGACTTCCTTGTGAATCAGATTACATTGCTCACCAGTGGCATAGCGGACAGTAAGTTTCTGATTCACTACAAAAAACAGATGCATTAGAGTCACTTGCTTATGAATCAGAACACACTGATCATACTGTAAGCTTTTATTTATTAAAAAAAACTGCTATATTACAGTCATTTTCTTGTGAAACCAACTACAATGCTCAAATGATGCTGTCGAGTCACTAAATCTGATTGAGTAGAGTCACTTACTTTAGAGTTATTCTATATTGGTCACACTGCAGTTTATACAAGTGTTTTTCATAAGAAACACAAAAACAAACGAAAATCTGATCTGTAGTCAGGTGTGTGAATGTGAATTATGTGGCCTCTGTTCTAATGTGTGTGTGTGTTCTTACATTTAGGAGTGCTGCGCTGACAGTTCTTCTCAGTCCAGCTGATGGAGTGCACATCTCCACTGTACAGTAATGTGCTCTCTCCGTTGTAGCTGCGCGTGCGGCTGGACGGCACCAGCTGAAACAGATTCTCCTGAGGCATAAAGCTTCGAGGAAATGTCCTCCGACCTGAACATGAACACAAACACAGACAAATCAAAATACAACCACCAATAAGCTTCCTTCTGGAGACTGGATTTTTGAGTTTTTAAGAGTTTGGTAAAAGTGAGAGACAGCACAGCACGCTCCTGTCAGTTTTGAGACTTCAGGCTTTTTTGAGTATAAAACATCCAAAATACACTTTTAAATGTTTCTTTTGTCACACTTTTTCAATGTGAGTCTGTGAATTTTAATTACAATACATATTTTTAAAATACTTCCATAAAAAACTTCCTGCACTAAGAACAGCAACTAAGCTAATACATTTATTTTATTTATTTATTTATTTATTAATAAACAGATTTCTTTTTTACAGAGGTAGATGTTCATTAAAAATGCAGTGTGTAAGTTTTTGTCTCTTCTAAAGCATAAAAATGCCATAATATGTTTGCAAATATTTATTAAACATGCAATAGAACATTCAGAAAAGTCATTATTTGAAAAACAATGGTAAAGTCAGATATTGTGCTTTGAAAATGTCTGTTGCGTGCCAAAATGTCTGTCATTATTTTGGCCATTTAACCCGCCCACTGCCAATTTAGCCAATTATATTTCAGCACCCCGGGTTGCCTTTTTGGAAAACAGTATTTGTTTCATTCAGTCAGAAGGCTCTCAAAGCATGCGTCCAAAATGTGACCTCTGGTGGACAGTACCAGACTCCGAAATGAGACACAGATTCAGAGTTCCACATGAGGTTATTAATTAGCAAATAATATAAATATTATGAACATAAACATTAGGAGAGTATGTTACATTGTAACCCCATGTCCTAACAACATGCTACGTGAAGAGATACGCAGTGATAAGCAATTTGGCTGTTTGCACAAGACGAAACATGACAGAAATTTAACTAAAGCCATTCAGAAGCACAGAATATGCACTTACTGCACTCCAACAAAAAGGTAACATTATTAAATGTACATGCTGATTCACTGATATGCGATTAAACTTAACTTAAACCAGCCTTTAGGCTCGATAGTCTTGCTCCTATGGTGTTGTCAATCTGGCAACCTGCGCTTGTTCTACAAAGAAATTGTGGATGCGAACAGCCAGAAAAAAGTTTTACAAATCTACTTAGTAAAAACATTTGAATTTTGATCAATTTAAACCAATTTTTTGTGTGTGCAAGAAATGTATGCAAATTAGCACACACTTGTCTAAATGTAATGAAATTAATCAACTGGGGAAGTATGCTGACTAATATTAGTTCATTACTTTATTCATCTACAGTGGTTTCTCTTAAAAATGCCATTTACCAGCATCAAAGTTCACAAATTCTACTGCCAGGAAACACACAATGCATTTTTACCTTAAAAACACTTTAATCTCTTTTCATAACAGCATCTGCCCAAGACATATAAAACATTGCCTCCAAATCTATGCAAAATGATTTGTTTGCATACTGTCATGCAAACGTGATCAACACATCATGTATCTTTATATTCCCTTTCCCTGATTCCTTCACTCTCTCTCACGCTCTTCTTTTCCTTTGTCTCTGACTTCCTCCATCAAGCTTTCCACAAGGCCGGAAACTGCTCTCAGCTCAGTGTTTTGCAACAGTCAGTGAGCCTCATCAGGGGAAACACAAATAAAACACACACACATTTCATGTTGGCGGAGTTCATGGTCATGAGCACAGCTTTATCTCTTCTAGATTCTGGATTGAGCTCTGAAATACTCTGAAATGCAGTATTAAATAGTCTAAACTAGCCTTCTGGTCTCTTCAGATGGGATAAAATGGGCTTTTATATATTTTTTTTGCTGGTGGAAGTCTAACAATTTATGGAACTGGACTGTAAATGCGTGTTTGATTCCAAGTAGGAGAATCGCCTGGCTAACATGATCCACAGAGACACTGCATGCAATTAGTGGATTGTGAGTCGCTTTGGATAAGAAAGCAGCCGCTTAAATGTTAACTAAAGAATTAATTTACTAATGAGGCGCTTGGAGAATTGAGAAGTGGGTTCAAATGCCAGCTTTTAATGCCAGTTTTTCAATGCACAGGCTTTGAGGTGCTGCTTGACAAAAATAAATGTTGTAATTGTGAAAGAGAAAGAAAACGTATGTGATGGTTTCTAAATAAATTCCATTGGAACAGAAAGAAGCTACTTAAAATGTTATGAACCCATTTCGGATAAATACAACATCAATATAATTATTAATTATTACATTTAATGTAATAATTAAACATAAAAAATATATGCACAATCACAATAAATATAGTTAGTAGTATAAGTATGGTTTTAAAATTATACTTAAATGTTTGTTATTACTATTATTATTACAAAATCCAAAATAATAAATTAATTACAATGTATATTAAATAAAATACATAATGTATAATAAAAATAAAAACGACTATTAAATGATTATTAATAAAGCTTAATCCATATTATTAATATCAAGATTTCACAAAAGAAAGAAATATACATAATTGTAACAAATTATAACAACAACTAAATGCTAAATAATAACAAATAATAATATATTCAATCCCTTATTAAAACATAAAACAAAACAATAACTAAACTCATACAAATGCATGTATTTATTATTGTTGCTGTTATAATAATGATAATTATATATTATAATTTATAAATATATATTATGATAATTTATGATTACGAAATAATAATTCTTCTTATTATTACTATTGCTATTATTATTTTATTATTATTATTATTATTATTATTATTACTATTATTATTATTACTATTATTATTAAAATATTTTTAACAAAACAAAAACAGATATACATTATTAAATTACCTGAATTAACCTGGATAAATACATTATTACAATTATTATCATCAACCTATCATCATGACCATGATCATTAATATTGTAGTAAAATTAATATCATTGGATTAAAAATAAAACATAAATTAATAAAAATAAGACACACTATACTGAACTATAATAAATGATGACAACTACTGACTTATAATAATTCCTGACAATAATAATAATAACAACAACAAACATTTTATTAACTTCAATATTATTAAACACTAAAACGATAACAAATTAATTATTTTTAACAATGTTTATTATTATTATTATTATTATTGCTATCAGTAATAAAGATTAAGACATTCTTAAAATATTATTTGAATAATTATAATTAAAATGATGAACAGCATACGTTATTTTCATAATCTAATTAGATATTAATTACAAGAAGTTATTTAAAAAATGTAAGTTAACTATTTAAAATGAACCTTTCTGTTAATAATTTAATAAATAAAGGCCAATAATTATGTCAACATCCTGAACAGCACACAGTCTGTACTGCTGTCTACAGTGATAAACAACGCTAGTATATCCGTCAGTCAGTCAGTGTTGTTATCAAGCAGCTCACCGTCACCGTAGTCTTTACTGCGGCTGGACATGTGGAACTGGCGAGGGAATGTGCCGTGTTTTCCATGTCGTCCTGCAGGGGGAGCAGAGACACACAAACTCATTACTGCACTTCACAAACACATTTATCTCCATTTACAGAACACAGCAATTGCTGATAATCAAATCGATGAGAGCATCGGATATGAAGAAATGCATGCAGTCAGTGAATAAACACGTCTCATCATAACAGATAAGAAGAGTCTGCTGTGTTGAGAAGGCTTTTATTTTACCACAAGACACTTCATTCATTCAGTGACAAAACTAAAGCAGGGCTAATACTGTAGAATCAGCTGAGCAGAACACACACCATTGCTTTCAGGACACATCAACCTTACCTCGACTCTAATAAAGTATCTGACAAAAACCAAGGTGTTTATTTCACCTTACATATAAATATAAATCATTTTATTATGAAATCAGTATACTACTAAATTCAAGGCTTTATTACAATTAATGGACAAACACACAGAATTGTTTGAAAAAGTACAACTAAAAGTAAGTATGATAAATATAAAAATATTAATAATAAGAATATTAATTACTGCAATAATAACAACAGTTATTACTATTATTATTATAACTATAATTAATAATAATAATGATAATAATAATAATAATAATAATAATAATTATCGAGATAATCATTCTGTGATGATGACAGGCGTTTTGCTGCTACATCTGAAAAGAACACCACATTTAATAACGTTTTTACTCCAAACTCGTTTCATAACTTCATTCGCGTGTATGGGAAAAAATCCTTCTGTGAGCTGATTTTTTTAGTTTTGCAAGTTTGCATGTTCTCCCGGTGTTGGTTTCCTCTGGATGCTCTGGTTTCCCCCACAATCCAAAGACATTCGCTATAGGTGAATTGAATAGGCTAAATTGTCCGTAGTGCATGTGTGTGAATGATTGTTTCCCAGTGCTGGGTTGTGACTAGAAGGGCATCCGCTGCGTAGAACATATGCTGGATAAATTGGTGGTTCAAGCCGGAAAAAAAAAAAGAATGAACCTAGTAAATAAGTACTGGTATAATTATTACTACTAGTATTATTACAAACTAAACACACTAGTACCTACAGAATAAACACCAGGGTCTAATCAAAAAATGACTAGTACTGAATGTGAAAATAAACAATACTAGTAGCATGAAAATAGTACAGTTTACAGATTTAAGTGTTGATAACACCGAATGCGTTTTTTCGTGTTGAGAGGTGCCATTTTTTAATGGTTTTCCAATGGCTGTGAGCGAGTTGCACACTGCTTATGCGCCCTCTGCACGTTTTTAAAGCCTGCTGTCCCTCCCATTTTTGCCGTCATCATTAGTCAACTCTGAGCAGAAAAAGCACGCTATGTCAGTTGCATCTTTTTCATCCTCCAATCAAATGAAAGCAGAGGCGGGGTTTCGATTGAGGTGACAGCAGTAAGATGACTATGAAGACCTTTAAAGATAAAGGAGAGACTAGTGGTCGTTGTTTTGAGTTATTCAGAGCTCTATGACTTCACAAATCTTGAATATCACGAAATTTTTAAACGCTACATTTATAACAATATCAACAGCTGGGATTATGCACAATACATAGCTGCTTCAGTCGTTGCCTAGGGTCATAAAAAGCACACCGCACTTATTTTTTTCTTGTCAACAAAAAACTTTGCATTCTCTAAATGTAAATGTACGTTCGGTGTAATCTGTCCCTTACACAGTCTGTCTCATAAAGCTTTTCTACTCTCATTCTGGGATTTCTGTGCATCAAAAGGAAAGTTTCCATGGGGTGTATGTGTGTGTCTGTGTATGCATGTGTGTGTCCTCTCTGTTGGAGAAGATGACTCTCTCATTATCGGTCAGGCCTGCTCTATTTGATGGTCGCTCGAGAGGAAAAACAGCAGAGCAGAGCAGGAGCTGGAGAGAGCCGCTGAAAATACTAAACCAAATCTCCTCTTTAACCACTCCAGTAACTTTCAATCTTTCAGCACAGCGGAAGAAAGAGGAGAGAGGAGATCTCATTCATTCTCTCTGTCGATACAGGTCTGTGACTATGTTGAAAAACCCAGTGAGCTGAATATATAAGCTGACTTTTCAGGCGTCACGCTGCAAAAAAAATCTATTTCTTAATCAATACTTTTTTGTCTTATTTTGTAGCACCCTGAAGTAAACATTCTACAAACCAAGATAAAGCACTTGGAAAAACTAAAACGAATACGATAATAAGACTTCTTCATTTAAAGCATTTACATTGTTGGAGCATAAATACAACAAATCTGAACATAAATTTAAACTGTAAATGATTTTATAAGGATCACAGGACACTGATTAAAGACACTAATGAGCTAGCTGTCTAGTTAGAAAAGGTCAAAGCAGCTTTGTTCAGGTTTAGAAACAGGTATGGTCGCATCCACATTCAACTGAACTGCAGTTAGAAGCTGAAAAAGGCCTGTTTACACCAACAATGATAAAAATTAACATAAATATAATGATATTTGAGTCCACACTAGCGAATAACAACAATCTGTTGATTTGAAGCCTGTGCACTGCACTGCGGTATCGAAACAAACTAAAATGTATTTACTGTATAAAACACACAGCAAATTTCAGCTGCCAAAACTAATGAGTCAAAAATGGCATGTTTGACTTTTGGGTAAATTAGAAAACAGAAAAATACGAGCCGGAAAAATAATAATAATAAAAATAGCTCTGTCAACTAGATTAAAGACATCTCTTTGCATCAGAATACACATAAAAGACAAATGCTTTTGAAATCTAAATCCTCTAAAGGATTGTTAGGCTGCATTATTTAGGGCAACTGGAGCCAGGAACACTTCCCAAAAGACAGTATAATTTGAGTGGCATCTATGCTTATGTTAGTCTTTTTTTCCTTATCCCGAGGTCTCCATAATCCTGAACCAGGCCGTGTCCAGAGCAGATGCTGTGGTAGTCATGGAGGTGTGGAGTGCTTGAGACTGATTTCTGAAAAACTCCTTTGACAAACGAGTCTCCGCATTGATCCTGTGGGCCAGCCTTGAACACTTGCTGGTGATCTACTCACACCTACAAGTTTGGCCAGTGGGCAAACAGTCGTGCCTAACCGAGCCTGGTTTCTTTCAAGATTTTTTCCTTCACTTTCGTCAATTGGTTCGTAAAAGGTTTTCTTTCTCGCCACTGTCGCTACTGGCTTGCTTGGTTTTGGCACTTGTGGAGCTGCGCATCGATGGATTTGCTCTTCAGTGTTTGGACTTTTAGCAGTGAAATTTAAACAACACTGTACTGACCATTTACTAGAACTTCTATGTTAAGCTGCTTTGACACAATTTAAATTGTACAAATAAAGATGAATTGAAAATTGAACTGAGTTGATTCGATCACTACACTTGTTGCTTTAACAATAGGAAGAAAAAAAATAAGTTTAATTTAGAGGACAAAACAAGTCACAAATAGCAATCATGCAATTGTTATTTATATGACCACAAATGTAAATCAAAAATTTCTCATTTACCATAGAAAAACAGACTACTTATACATAAAATGCCTATAAATATAATTTATAACAAATCTAAAGCCCCTACAACTGGTAAAATCTGTGTAATTTTAATTCATTTAGACAAAACAGAGAAGTGGCCCTAATTGATTACACTAAGAAATACATGTTTTTGATAAAACAATAGTTTTTTTTTTATGTCTTTCTGATGCCAATGGTTATGCTAATGCAGAATTTATTTGATAACAAAAATAGTTTTGTTCATTTTGATCATTTAGAGTCCTTTGTTTATCAATATTGGTGTATTAGCCTTTATAGAGTCAGACTAAAACCTTCACGTTTCTCTCTGTTTTTTTTACATAAACAACAGGGCAAAATAGTTGTTGATATAAAAAATCTATACAAATTTGACAAGATATTTACATTTTAAAACATACAAGAAATGCAGGAAATATAACCTCAAATTAAGAGAATATTTATATCAATATTTTAGCTGCCCCAATCATTTTGGGACACAACAACAAGTTGAATTGTACTCACTGCCAGTGCTATTTATATCATTTTCAAAGTGATTCCTCTACAATGTTATGGCAAGAGCTGTGCTATGCTATTGTTTCACCATCAGAGTCATTTTTAATAAACCTTTATAGTGGTCATCCTTGGACTAAACAACCATTAAAAAACAAGTTCACAGATCCATACTGACATCAAGCTCACCTTTGTACTCGTAGTTGAGGTTCAGGTAATTGTTGTCCCGGTTGTTCTGGGAGAAAGGCGGGCTGTAGAAACACAGGCAGAAACAAGAGGTTATTTTTTGCACGGGTCTCTCCGTCTGCCTGGCCTACATTCCTGTGCCCAACAGTCCCTCGAGTGCCAACGTGAGTGTCTGCCACCTGCTGTAAAACTGAACTGAATCTCCTCTACCTGATACCTGATTCCGCACACTAACGTCTGACTGCTCAACAGTGGTTCTGTGTGCTTTTGAAAAACGCACTGAAGTGTCAGTTAAACATCTTTTTAAATCTGCACAATGTAGAGTAACGTTATTTGGACACCATCCAAATGTATGCAAATGAATGAAGACCAAGCTTTACTAAAAGTGGTTTAAAACTTCATGTCATGAAAACACTGAATTCCAAAAGTGGAATCACTGTGCACGTGTTTTACTTTTGATTTTGTTTCATGTTTTTGCTTTTTATTGCAGGTGAGATGACACCTATGATCTTAGACAGTATACTAAACAACATCATTATTGCATTTGCCAAAATTAATGAATTAATAATTTATTAAATCACCTAAAATTCATTATAATAAATATATTTGGAAATAAGAATAACAATGATATATTAAGTATGTAAAATGTACATCTAGATGGTTGTTGTAACAGATTATTATGCTTTTGACTGAACATTTGCGAAATTCCAATGTAGATTTTTTTACAGTTAACAACCACTAAATAACACGTCTCATCCAGGAACTTTCTTTTATTGTCAGCGAATACGTTCAAATCTATATACTTGACTCCAAATTCACATGAACCCTCTTGTCTCTCACACCAGGTTTGTTTTGGACTGTTTAGTGCCGTCTTGTAAATGAATAACATGTAGATAGTCTATATTTTCATATAGTCTATAGTCTATTGGCTTTATTCATTTCTGTTTGGCTCTATCTTATGACTAAATAATGCACAGGTTAGTGCAACGTTATATATACTGCATTAACAACCTCCTGGATGTACTTTATCCCTTACATAAAGCCCAACAGGCTAAAAAACAGGCTTATTAACAATATTATACCCCACATGTGCCTGAATTAGTTTAATCAGTTGTTATAGGGGAAAACCATTTCCTTGTTTCCATGTTGTGATTGATCAATAAGAATTAAGTATTCCAGAAGCAAATGTAATCAAGAGTATTACTTCCAATTAAGAATAAAAAATAGAAAACTTGGTGTAAAAAACATTAATGTTTTAAATAAATGCTGTTATTTTGATGCAGATTTTATATTGATTTTGATTTTATATAGTCCAGGATTTTGTTCCAGAATTCCACTAAAATATTCATCAAAAACAAGTACAAACTAAAAACGATAGTTTCAAATTACTATAAATAAAATTCAATATATATATATTTCTTTAATTCACAATTTAATTTTTTATAGTATTTATGATAAACTAAATATAGCTTTGGTGACTTCTTTAAAACAATCTACAGATTATGACTTAAAAATTAGACTCAAAATTCTTTGAACTGCATGCTATAATAAATAAATAAATAAATAAATAAATTGTTCAGAAAAAACATACAGTTTCCCACAACATTACAAAACCAATTAAGTTTGCATATCTTAAAAATTATACTTTAAAACATCAGTCCTAACCCCTATTCCTAGAGGGCCACAGCACTGCACAGTTTTGGTCTAACTCTTAATTAACCAACTAATCAAGGTGTTCAGGGGTATGAGAAACTAGTAAGCAGGTGTGAGTTGGAGCTGGTTGGAGCTAAACTGTGCAGAGCTGTGGCCATGCAGGAAATGAGTTTGAGGCCATAGCTGAGTTTGAGACCATTGCTTTAAAACATATAAAATTAAACTAAAAAAAAAAAACCTTGAAAGTTTGAAATTTGATGTATGGTTGCAAATATGCTATACCCCCCCCCCCCCCAAAAAAAAAAAAAAAAAACAATAACAAATGAATGAGCAAATAAACACATATTGACATGCATTCCACTGTTTGATATTTTGAAAGTCAGATTAAATGAATTTGCATAGCACAGCAAAAACAACTTAATTCTTTCCATGAAAAGTAGTTTTTGTGCTCAAGTCCTCTGTGATACTGGCTCTACAACAACAGATGAATAATGGCATTAATCATATTTTCCAGGGAAACAAATGACTAAATCCATTCTGCCATCACTTGCTCAGTTGCGGGTGGTTAGAAGCTTCTTTTTTTTCTTTTTCTTTAAATCAATGAGAGCTGTAGCTGGCACTGGTTCAGAAAACAAAGAGGCTCTCACACATCAACATGTTGTTGCAGGATTTCATCTTGAAAATATCACTGATTCTGAATCCAAGCCAATCAACATGACAAAATCAAGAGCTGGGTTTCAAGTCAACATAAACCAGAAAAACAAAACACAGCTCATTTCAATAGCCTGTGCTATTTTCCAAAGCCAAATGAGATAATCAACAAGAAAGCAAAGTCAAGGAGGACTTGACATCATCATTGTTGAGGAGCAGGGTAAAGTCAGAGGACTTGATGAAGTCAGCAGAAAATTAAAGCTTATTAAGAGGCAGAAAACTAATTTTGTTTTTATGAAATAATGCAGAAAAACAGCTTCTTTGGCAAATGTTAATGCAGAAAGAAATAAAATAAATTAGTTTATTGTTCTATTTAGTTTTCATATTCTAACTGTGCATTCACACCGAAAGTGTCGAGAGTGTCAAAGTTCACTACATTGATCTTGTATTTAAAGCAGCCATTGCAGCATATCAGCAAATCACTTACATTCTCACACAAAAAATGTTTTCTAGCTTGAAAATGTTGCACATTTTTTCTCAAATTCTTTTAACTGTGTGATGTGGTTTTGCTCCACTTATCCATGTGTCAATAAGTCTGAAATATTCTAAAGCAGCTATACTGTTTTGTGCTGTTGTTATAGTTACCATGAGATTTCTGCTTTTTTTTTTTACGAAAAAAAAATTAAATTAAATTAAATTAAAAAATAAATAAATAAACGTATGTATGTATGTATGTGTGTGTGTGTGTGTATGTATATATATATATATATATATATATATATATATATATATATATATATATATATATATATATATATATATATATATATATATATATGTGTATACATACATACATACATACATCCATCCATACATACATACATACATACATTTATTTATTTAATTTTATTAATATATATATATATATATATATATATATACATACACACACACACACACACACGCACGCACGCACGAACGCACGCACTCGCGCGCACACACACACACACACACACGCACACGCACACGCACACGCACACACACACACACACACACACGCGCACACACACACACACACACACACACACACACACACTTTTCTGGAATCGTCTCGCCGTAGATAAATAAATGACTTCTGGCTACGTTGACACTTTTGCTGTTTTCAAATGCGTGAGTGAATGAACGTGACCACACACAATGTTGCAGTAAAGGGACTAAGCCGTAAGATAATAATCATTATAATAATAATAATAATAACAAATAGTGTAAATATTTATTACTAGTGTAATAGAGTAAAAACTCTAACATAAAATTCATATTTTGATTTAATGTGGGTTTTAAGATGCAAAAAAACTCGTTTCTGCTCACCTAACAGAAGCTGCTCAATACAAATCTCTCACTCTCTCACACACACACACAGACACACACATACACTTGTTTCCTGCCATTGTTCTGAAGGCTAAAAGTCAGATAAGGCTCGTGCAGGTAAAGCAAGCTTTTCCTTTCTCTTTCTCACTTTCCTGTCTTTCATTCTCACTCTTTCTCTCCCCAGTGTGTGTGTGTGTGTGTGTGTGTGTGTGTGTGTGTGTGTGTTTTCACGCTGCATTATTGACTGGCTCTGTTTATAACAACAGAAAGCAGAAAGCGGGACAACTGCTCTTTCTCTGAGTGATAGCACTGGCATCCAGGCGTCCAGATAAGAGCCGTCGCCAGACTCACATCAAGAGCTTCCTGCTTAACCTGATTCCACTTCCTCTCTGGACCGCTGACATACTTATCAGACCATGATTATTATCATAAGCTCATTAGACGAAGTGTGCAGTTATTTGGTCTTGAAATTGACAAAACTTATAATGCTTAAAAACAACTGTCATTACGTGGAAAAATTGATTAATAGATTGTTTGATTAATGTTTTTTTTTTTGTTTATGGACGATTTTATTTATGTAGTTTTCAGTTTTGTTGCTAAAAAACTTGATGATGACTCCATAAAATGATCATATGCACATTAGACGAGGTGTCCAGTTATTTGGTCTTGAAAATGACCAAACTTATAATGCTTAAAAGAAGTTGCCACGTAACTGAAAAGTGTAATTACGTGGAAAAAATCTATAAATAAATCATCTAATGCACAGGTGTCAAACTCAGTTCCAAAAGGGCCGCAGCTCTGCACAGTTTAGTTCCAACCCTAATTAAACACACCTGATCAAACTAATTGAGTCCTTGGGGCTTGTTTGAAACCTACAGGTAAGTGTGTTGGAGCAGGGTTGGAACTAAACTGTGCAGGGCTGCGGCCCTTCAGGAATTGAGTTTGACACCCCTGAGCTAATGGATTATTTAATTACATTTTTTGGGGACGATTTTTATTTATGCAGTTTGTTTTCAGATTTGTTGCTAAAATACTTTGCGATGACTCCAAAAAATAAATTAAAACCATTTTAAAAAAAAAATTTAAATTAAATGTAATAGTACACTTTTTAGGTAACCAAATGAACCAATGAAATGGAAAAAAAAAATAAAATAAAATAAATGAACAAAACAAAACCCAAAACGAAACAAAACACAAAACAAAAAACTAAAAAGAAAAAAGAAAAAAACACAAATACAACAACACAAAAAACAAACAACAAAACCGAGACACAAAACAAAAATAAATAAAAATAAAATAAATAAATAAACAAAACAAAAAAGAGTTTTTAACATATTGACTTATTTTTACATTTTACCAGGTTTTACTTATATTGAAAATGTATCAGATAAACAAAAAATTTCAACGGATATTTAAATGATAGCAGATTACACATAATAAAAATAAATGAATAAATAATAATAATAATAATAATCACATTTTAATAGATTTTAAAATATATATATATATATATATATATATATATATATATGTTAGTTTTTTAAATTTACAAATTATTTTTCAAAATTAATTCTAAAGTTTGAAATTCAAATAAATTAGTTAAATAAAAATAAAAAATAAACCTGCAAACCCTATAGCAATGAAAAAGTGTAATGCAATAAATAGTTGTGTCAAATTTCTACAAATTGTATTTTACGCATTCAACTTTTGTAAATATGTTTATCCCTATTGTGTGTCAAGAGGTGTTGGGCTCACCTGTCCAGCGCCTGGTCCAGTGACTGACAGCTGCTGGAAAGCGACCCATTAGCGCTGCCGAACGGCTCCATAATCTGCACACAAAAACACACATGACATCATTTCCCTGCATTAGAGTTTGTGCATCTGATCTTTAGCCCTCCACAAGACTGACGTCAGATTTTCCATGAGCCTGAACTGCTTCCTCTCCCTCGACTCTTATAAAGCACACAGTTAAACAAGGCAAAGTACAGGACGAAATGACCATAAACACTCAGCATTGTTTATTCGTTTGTTAACCCGGGATCAGTCTTAATCAGAAACAATCTGGGTCACTCAAAACAAACATCCACTTGTGTTTCACTGTGATCCTGGTTTATCTTGTTCCAGATATTTTAATCCAGGTTTGGCGATTCCACACTCTGGATTATCATACTTATTTGAATATGCATGAGGTTTAAATCTGGTTGTCTGGTTACCTTTCTAACGTATACATATTTTTTATTGTATTTTAAATTTATCTGAGAAGATACTGAATGTGTGGGTGATGCAGTGGCGCAGTTGGTAGTGCTGCCGTCTTATAGCAAGAAGGTAGCTGGGTCGCTGGTTCGAGCCTCAGCTCAGTTGGCGTTTCTGTGTGGAGTTTGCATGTTCTCCCTGCGTTCGCGTGGGTTTCCTCCAGGTGCTCCGGTTTCCCCCACAGTCCAAAGACATGTGGTACAGGTGAATTGGGTAGGCTAAATTGTCTGTAGTGTATGAATGTGTGTGTGAATGAGTCTGTGTGGATGTTTCCCAGAGAGGGGTTCATTCTGCTGTGGCGACCCCGGATTAATAAAGGGACTAAGCCGACAAGAAAATGAATGAATGAATTCTGAATGTATTAGTGTTGGACAATACAACATAAGCAATTTTTTTCTAAGTCCTCAATGGTCAGGCAGAACAAACTGTCACTCACATAATATCGACCAATAGCAAATGACAACAATCAAATGATCGAACCAAACAAATTTCTAATACTAATAGTAATAACATATTTTCTTTAGAGGCAGTTTAACTCAATATATGACAAAATAGAGAAGAAAACATTCATTGAGAATTTAGTTTCATGTTGACATCAATGGTGCTTTCACATTTTGTTTATTTGGCTGGTTTCAACCAGAGTTCGTTTGACGACATCAAACACTAATCAAATATGCCAATCGATTTGTTGTCGAAACAACATCAAAATGGCATCTAACATTGGCATCAACAAACACATCACAGGACTGTGCTGTAATTGATTTTTGAAGATTTTTTTGACACCAATTTTATGTTAACGTTTACGTCTAACTTGCTGTCATACTTTTTGTGTCGCTATTTTGGTGGTCAAAAAGGCCTTAATGTGTGGGAGTCAAAATAGACATCAAGGTTTTGACATTCAATGGATTTCAATTTTTGATGTGTTTTATGGTGTGCTTTTTTATTGTGCTTTTTTATTGTTTGCTTTTTTAGCGGGGGAGGGGAGATTGCGATGTAGTTTACATACATACAATACAGTACAGTACAGTACATACAGTACATACAATAAGAAAGTGGTTATTTAATTTTTTTAATAAATATTTAACAATATATTTTTTTCATTTAATAAATGCTGCCTTCATAAACAGAATAATTTTCTGTTTTTCAGAAAAAAAAAAAAACTGACCCCACTCTTTTGACCGGTAGTGTACATACTGTATACACAGTCTGACCAGTTAACATGATTAAGAGTGTGACACTTCTGTAATTTTTCTGTGCAATTATGGCTCGTTTACACAGACTGGTACAGTACGGTACGGTTCAGGTCGGTACGGGTCACCTTTATCAGGCTTGCGTTTCCACTACTAAGGGTACCCCTTTTGGTGGGCGTGGTGTATGACAAAGTTTCAGTCGCATCATTCTAGCTCAAGGAAATGTCTACAGTAAAGCTGTACGGGTCGCTCACATATCATATGAGAAGCACTTCTCACAAAACAGACGCTTTACACTCATAAATACTTGTGTATAAATGTTTATTACTAACTTTTCTATTAACAGGATTTGATTATAACTGCAGATCAATGACAGCGCAAAATAGCCTACTGTAACATCTGTAATTTTATTAAATAAATAAATGAACATATATGAACACATACAGCCCTTTACAGTCTCAGATATAATACCAACTACAGAAAAACTACACACAGCAGACATTTCGTCCTTATTTAGGTTTAAAACAACACAAAATATAGCCTACAGTCAGTGAAAACCTATTATCTGTGTCTGTAATCTTCAGCAGCATGTGTAGCCTCTGTTATAGAGTAAGATAAAGATGATTAGATGATAAAAATTAAATCAAGGCAGTTTGTTCACATTTGCTGAAGAAATAATGTGCTCCTTTTTTTTCCAGCTTCTCCTTTTTTTCGCGCATCACTCTCGCGTTTGTCAGTGTCTGACAGGATCGGGTTTTAAAAGCACATCAATAATCAAGCGCATGTTATTATCATGAGCTCAAGAAGTTTGTTTTTTCAGATATACTCACGTGGTGAGCACAAGCAAGAAAGCGAAAACGCTCGCGCTTCAGACTGGCTCGTAAAAAACTACGAGGCACAGGGTAGATTCTGCTCTAATCCATGGCTTTTTGGCTGTTCATCAAGACGATGACAAGGTTTGTTTGAGCCCAGATCAACCATGGCTCGTTATTATATGTATATATAATTCCGCTGTAATCTCTCGGCTGCGTTTGTATTTTAAACATAGCGGGTTTTTTCAACCCGGGCTCATTGTGGAAATGTAGCCCCGCAGACGTTTCTGCAGGCTGCGAAATACGTCCCGGGAGGTATGCATTCGAGCAGTTTTTGTTTTCGAGGATCCGCGAGAGGCAGCTGTGTGTGCTTTTTCGTGTCTCGGACGCCTCTCGGGAGCGATGTTTTTGCGTGAAAAGCCGCCAGAGGCCGCTGTGGAGCGACCGTCCGTCCGACTGGCTGGCAGAAGACTGAACGATCAACCGGGCGGCCAGCCAATCGGCCGACCCTGCCGCCCTCCTCTTCCTTCTCCTCCTCCTTCCCTAAACCCAAGCGACGGTTTGCAAAAGCCGTCCAGAAAAAAAAAAGCAAAAGCCCATGTCTTTGATTTTGACCGTGTTTTCGGATCTCGCCGCGTTCTCGCCCTTATTTTTTGGATTCTGTTTTTCATCTCACCTGATTTCTGGAACCGCTCTTCCCCGGACTCGATCCCGGTCGTCCTCGTGGCCGGCTCCTCCTCCTCCGGGCCTTTGCTCTGTCGATGTAACGCTGCGAGCTAAGTGGACAGACTGGTTGCAGCGGGAAAGCCCTCCACACGGAGGCAAGCCGTCGGTCGGTGAGCGCGAAGAGGAGGAGCTGAGCAGCCTCACACCGCCCCGCAGCGTTCGCTCGAAAAAAACTAAATGCGGCCATACGTACCTCCGGCCACGTAAATCGCGGTCTCCAGCAACGTCCGCGGGGCTACATTTCCAGAATGAGCTTGGGTTGTTTTTTTTGTTGACATTTTGCCTTGTTGCATAAGTGAATGAAGTATCTCCGTAAACCAATAGCGTTTAGCTGCTCGTCTAGCTCCGCCTTTTGGTACCCTTTCTCGTGTTTGGTTCCCTTTCAAAAGGGTGCAGAAAAAGTGGTACGGTACGGTTCGGTACGCCTTTTGAAAGTGGAAACGGCCATAAAAGCGTACCAAACTGAACCGTACCGTAACATACCACTCAGTGGAAACGGGCCATTACAGTTGTGTTCACTTCAGAAGTGAAACATAGCGGAGTTCATATGATCCATACATCGGACCACCCTTTTACTGGTGCGCACCTGACTTTAGAACGCTGCGTTCACAATAAAACTGAATAAACCCAACTCTGATGGGTAGACACCAAAAGTGATAATGTAAAATCGACTTGAAATACTCAAAAATTCCCAATGTAACTTCAAACCTCAACAGTAATGTGCAGCTTAAAGCGTGACTTACACTGGAGTCGAGTGTTTCAGGGATGAACTCTCCTTCACTGTGGATGCTGGTGTAGGAGCCCTGTCTTGCGATCTGCTGCTGCTCTTCTGGGACGCTGCCTGGAGGTGGTGAAGAGCGGCCTGTGTTCAGAGACCCTGCAGACACACACACATACGTCACACTGTCTGATGATGCAAGATCAACACATCCACAGCAACTAATGAAAGAGAGCTGAATAATGACTGAGATTGAGGTGTGGAGTCAAAATGTCTAAATCACACTTGAGGTAAACTGGACCCTGGGTATTCTAGCCTTACATTTTACACTGCTCAAAATTTACCATACAAAACCAGAAAAAGAGGTTATGAAAGAAGTCTGGGTATTGTTTCGGTATATTGTTTTAAAAAGTACAAATAATACAATTGTTTCACACATCAATTTACATGTTTTCTTTAACTGATGTTTTCTCCTCAAATGCTGAAAGCACAGCTTATTTACAGTGCGTGTTATAGAAAGATGGTTGCTAAGCATCAAGCTGTAACAATGTAACGCTGCACTGTTTCATAATATAAATGTGTGGAACAGCATGTGAGTTTAGAGGATAAAATTAATGCAAATAACTCTGCTCCCCGGTAAAAAGTGGCAGTAAACTCATTTCTCAATTACAAGAATGAAATATTTCTTCCTTTATTTTTATAAGCAGAGTTTAAAACAACAAGTTCAAAACCTTTCTGAATTCTTTTACCAAATGAAAAATTACTAATGTTCTCAAATATATTTTATAATTTTTTAATAACCATTCATCTTTAATTTTACATTCTTTAAGACTTTATCATATCTATGATATATCAATGATTCATTGTATGTATATGATATAGACCATTTCAATGTGGTGTTGTCATTGGCCCATGAACATTTCCTGCTTGTTGTCAAACTATTTCATATCTGTAACATGAGTCGATTCAATCATAACTTGATGTTATAACAGACATCATAACATTATTTATCAATATGTGTAACTTTTTGGACTCTCAGGAGCTATGGAAATTTAAAATGTAAAACAAGAAATATGTCAGGAGTCAGGACCATTGGTTTTGTATATTTATTCATTCATTCATTATCTTTTTGGCTTAGTCCCTTTATTTATCCAGAGTTGCCAAAGCGGAATGGACCACCAACTTATCCAGCAGGTTTTTTACGCAGCGGATGCCCTTCCAGCCCCAACCCATCTCTGGGAAACATCCACACACACTCATTCACTATGGACAATTTAGTCTACCCAATTCACCTGTACCGCATGTCTTTGGACTGTGTGGGAAACCGGAGCCCCCGATGGAAACCCACGTGAACGCAGGGAGAACATCCAAACTCCACACAGAAACGCCAACTGACCCAGCTGAAGCTCGAACCAGCGACCTTCTTGCTGTGAGGCGACAGCTGTTTTTGTTTACATCTGTCAAAATTATCTATAAATGCACCAAAATGTTTTATTTGACGTTTCAATAATAACTAAAAGGAAACATATGAGAACATTGAAAATCATTTCGTGTTTGTATTGGAAAGATGTCTTATGCTCACCAACAACGCAATTATTTAACCAAAAATAGAAACTGTAATGCTTTGAACTATTATCATGATTTAAAATAACTAATTTCAATGTGAATACATCTGAAACGTTAATTTATTTCGTTTTGTGATTTAAAGAATAATTACTCCAGTCTTCTGTGTCACAGGATCCTTCACAAATAATTTTTCTTATAGACCAGGGGTGGCCAACCCTGTTCCTGGAGAGCCACCTTCCTGCAGATTTCAGTTGCAACCCATATCAAACACACCTGCCTGTAATTATCACGTGGTGTTCAGGTCCTAATTAATTGGTTCAGGTGTGTTTGATTTGGGTTGCAACTGAAATCTGCAGGAAGGTGGCTCTCCAGAAACAGCGTTGGCCACCCCTGTTATAGACTATTTTACTTGTAGCCTAGACATTTTTTTGGTGCTTTTTAAAGTCAAGCTTTAGATTCAGTTCAATTCATCTTTATTTCTATAGCGCTTTTGCAATGTAGATTGTGTCAAAGCAGCTTCTCTTTATTGACTTATTGTTTTTGCATTGTCTACTTTTCAGTTGTATTGTATAATTGGTTTTTACTGGTGTAAAGCACTTTGGTCGACCTTGGTTGTAGTAAGGTGCTACATAAATAAAGATTGATTAATTGATTGATTGATTGATTGATTGACTGATTTTTATGGTTAATATTTATTTAATTGTATTTAGTATTCTTTTATTTTGACATGTAGTCTGCAATGTTTATTGTTTGTTCATCCAGGACACTCCAAAGAGCTTTTCCTAGTAAAATAAAGGTTTAAATGAAAAATAATACAAATACGAAAAATAAATAAATAAAATGTATTTTTGTAAAAAGAATATGCGGGTAGGTAGAGCTGTCACCTCACAGCAAGAAGGTCGCTGGTTCGAGCCTCAGCTGGGTCAGTTGGCGTTTCTGTGTGGAGTTTGCATACTCTCCCTGCTTTTGCGTTGGTTTCCTCCAGGTGCTCTGGTTTAGCCCACAGTCCAAAGACATGCGGTAAAGGTGAGTTGGGTAGCCTAAATTGTCCGTAGTGTATGAGTGTGAATGGGTGTGTGTGGATGTTTCCCAAAGATAGGTTGCAACTAGAAGGGCATCTGCTGCGTAAAACATGTGCTGGATAAGTTGGTGGTTCATTCCGCTGTGGCGACCCCGGATTAAAAAAGGGACTAAGCTGACAAGAAAAATTAATGAATGAAAAAGAATATGCAACTTTTTAGCAAGTCTTCACTGTCACTGTTAAAAAACAGTATCAATTTAATTTCTGAGCTAAACGTAATCATGTCAATCAAATATTTTACCATGATTTACAGTAGATGTGTCATTTACTCTAACAATAGTTTATATATCTGAAAATCCTCTAATGCATATTTAAAATGAGAATCATTTGATGACATGTTAACAATTTACCAATTTAAGAGTCTGAATGCTACTGCACAAAATTCTAATAATAATTGTGATTTTAAATCATTATATGTTTTCAGTTTGCTTTTTTATTTAAAATGCATCCATTTGTTTTACAATATTGGCACATTAAATGCTATTGTTATTCTCTATCTGCCAAACATGCTGCAAAACATGCTCTGTATGCAGGCAGTGTGAAGGTATTTTTCCTTCAGCCCATTATAATGACAAATGCTGACTGCTCTGACATGCTAAAATCTGTAAAAACACATCCTTGACATTCAGCCAGCGAAAACCTACAACCTCCATCATCTGGCATGCAATGTGGAGACACAATCTCTTCTCTTGACTTGTTTCAGGTGTGAAAATAACAGTATAAATGTGAGATGGTGAGAAAGCCGGAGCTGAGCAGAGCTCGATTTGGAAATGACACTCGTTCTTGCTTTGCATAATATTATTCCTGTTATGAACTTCACTTCTCTGTGTTTTTTGGCTGCTGAATATCGTGTGAATGATCCGACCAGACCTACAGCTACCTGAGGAATAGAAACAGCTTCCCATTGTGCCACATTCAAAACACACATAACATGAAAAAAACAAACATGTTTTCATTAAAACAGTTATATGTTCATGTTGCTTTTTCAAAGTAAATTGTTTTATAAGACAATAAAAATCTATCTATCTTTGGGAGTTGTAAATATACTATTTATTAAATAGTTTTTTAAAAATAGTTTTTATTTAGCATTTTGAATTCGTTTTGTTTCCAATTTTATAATTTTTTTTTTTACTTGAATTTTTGCATCACATGAATAAATACTAGGGATGCACAATATATCGTTGGCCATATTGTTATCAGCCGATAAATGCTATTTTTAAGATTATCGTTATCGATTCGATGTCTAAATTAGGCCGATAGTTTTTAACGATAAATTACGTAATTGTAAAGACCTGCCTGCCTCGCGCATGCGTGGGCGGAACTTGTTCAGACTTGTCCTGTGCACTATAATGGAGCTCTCCTCACACTGTTTATTCCTTCAAAAATTTCCTTTATGTGGCATTGCTGTGCGTTTATTGCTCAGTAAGTAACCATATTCCTTATCATTATAGATATGTTTGATTGAGTGTCATTGAGTATTTTGGTTTAAAAAACCTTAGGAGAAAAATATTAAATGTGTAAACATAACAGCAGTGGTGCACATGTGCTAAACAACTCGTTGGGTTGTTTGTAATCTGATTATTTGTTATTTTTAGGCCCACACAGAATATGCACGCGCAGAATTTCGCAGATTTTCCGCAGATTTTCCGCAGAATTCCGCAGCTTTCTGCAGATTTTTAGCCCATCATTAATTCTGTTTATTTACTTGAGTAAATGTGTAAATCTGAATTTATTTAGTTTTTATTCAGTAATTTATTACTTTTTATTTCATGTAATAATGTTTTAGTTATGATACTGCGCTGGATACTTCTAAAATAAATCCGCAGAAATCCACAGATTTTTACCAAAATTCTCCGCAGAAATAGCAAAAAACGTCCGCAGATTCCGTCTGGCCCTGGTTATTATCAACGCGTTGCCATGTGTCGTTGATGTAAGATTATATTCAGTTTGGTCAGAATATTGATAGATTATAACGAGCGCGCGTAAGGGCTGTCCCCGCGTGCGCACACACACACACACACAAACACACAAACAAACAAACAAACAAACAAACAAACAAACAAACAAACAAACAAACAAACAAACAAACAAACAAACACACAGATCTGACAGCCTTCACCACAGAATGGGGGAAAGGTGAGCCCTTAACTTGCCGCACATTCGGTCTTTTTATTATGCTCTGTGTTTGTCATAAAGTCATCTGTGTGCTCAAAGCTCAGGTTTGTATCAAAATCTGACTCCGAGGGCAACTCTGCGCTCGCAGTTGAGTGAAACTCGCAGCAGTTTAACATAAACTTTTCATCAATCATTTTTCCTACAATTGACTGCAAGAACGAACTTAGAAGCGTTGTCTGTTTGACACACAGCAGCTACATGTGTTCAAAAGAATCTAAAACGCCAAATAGGATGAATCTGTGCCGCATTTTCTAAAGTAAAACATTCTATCTGCATTTAGCTGTTCACTATTACAGTGGCTCTAAACAGTCAAAACGCCTCTAAAAAAGGCTTTTTTGCATATGACATATTTATACATATGTACATTACTGTAGCACGTTTTATTCAAGAACATTTGAGCTGGTTTCAGTCCTTATCTCTTTCATTTTCATTTTATTTAAATAAAAATAACTTGCTTGTTTTTTAAATCCCAATTTGTTATTTAACCAATTATTTTTATGCAACAGTCAAGTTGCATGTTAATTTGATATGAAGAAAAGGAAATAATACATTTTTTTTGCATGCTGATATATGTGAAATGGTAAATATACTGTAGGTCTTTATAATCACCTTGCAATTTTGAAAATATAGCTTTTTTGCTCTGAGTATAGACTACTCATTTCATAAGACCAGTTCAATCCATTATGAAGTTTGCTGTGTAAAAATATAACATTTTGAAATATTTATAACTATCTGCCTATATACAAGTCTGAAGAGTTATCGGTTATCGATATCGGCCAAAAAATCCATATCAGTGCATCACTAATGAATACATAAAAAACATTTTAGAACATATTAAAATAATAAAACTTATTTGCCAATTATTTTAAATTGCTGGAAAAAAGGTCTGTTACTGTTTTTAATACGTTTAAAGTAAATGAAGCCTTGGTCAGCTTAAAATCTCCATCAATACATCTTACTGACTTTAAACTAAGTTTTTACATTCACAGATCCATTAAACATGCATAGTAGGATCAAGAAATTCAACATCCCTACACTGCGTTGAAAGGATAAATGTGGCATTGAACATCTGTTGTGCATCATGAAATTTAAATTAAATGTTGTTTTACATAACCTACAATCTGAGAGACGGTCACATCTAACTTAGCCTAAATCACAAAAACATTCCTGAATCCCACCAGGAGGCATCTCTGAGAAAAAGATTTTGATTTACACGTTAACAAGAACGATTTTCCAAAAAAGTAAACCATTCATTTGAAACGGCATTCAGAGCAAACTGATTCCAACTGGCTGACTATCATATAAATGCAATCGCGCAGGGAAGTCGGCTGAAACTGATGATTTCAACTCGTTCCTTTGCCATTTAAAACATCCTAAATGATTTTTCCAAATGGCCCTGACGTCACTCACACTCTTTGATGCCATTCCCCGGCCTTGATGGAGAAAGTGCAAACAAAGCCGAAGCTAACCCATTATCTACTGTCATTTTGGCTGTGTGTGTGTGTGTGTGTGTGTATTAGGGGTGTGTAAGGTGATGTGACGCACCTGTAGAGTGTTTGCGCACTCGTTCTGAGCCTTTGAGAACTGAAGCTTTGAGATCTCCAAGCGACCTGGATGACTTCATCTCGCTCTGCTTGTCTTGGCCGCTCACCTGGAGGAACTGTAAAGACTGACATTTATTGAGGGATTCTGCTAAATCAATATGCTAAATATATACTTCAAAACGATGGACATTTTTTTCATTTAGTTAAAAAATATACAGTGCAAAAAGAAAAATATCAATAAAAAAATTAAAATAAAAATTATAGAACAAACCTACAATTGTTTTAAAATTTGATGTTATCTCGTATAAAATATAAAGAAGCAGTTTTTCAAAGGAACACCCTACTTTTTTTTGGAAATACTTTAATTTTATAACTCCCCAAGAGTTAAAATGTTGAGATTTACCCTTTTTAATCTATTCAGCCGATCTCTGGATCTGGCAGGAGCACTTTTAGCTTAGCTTAGCATAAATCATTGAATCAGATTAGACCATTAGCATGATCTAAAATGACCAAAACGTTTTGATGATCATCACGTTTAGCTTGAACCTTCTGTAGTTGGATTGTGTACTAACAGTAATGGAAAATATAACATTTCTATTTGTCTACTTTAAAATATTAACAGTTTATCTGAATTTTTGTTTAAATAAACAGTCTCTGCGATCAGAACAAAATTCCTTTAAAAACATTTGACTGAAAAAATTTTCAAACATTGCATAACAAATTGGCCATTTTCAAAATGTGACTCATAAAATAATAATAATAATACTACAAAAAAGATAAGCCACCACAATTGCTTACATTTTTTAATGAACCTTCCTGCTGTTCTGTTTGTTTCTAGATCAATGTTCTATAGACTGTTCTCTGGTTTCTTTTAAAAATCTAACTAATCTCATAATTAATGCCAATTATTAAGATATAACAAAAAGTAGCATTTGTTATTAGAACAATTGTGCAGAAAAAGGTCTTGCAGTCTGAGTAGCAGTTCATGTGCAGGTTAAGGTTTTGATTTTGGCTTTGGTCTGGGTTTAGTTTGGGTGGCTGTGCTTTGTGTTGGCCTGGACTCACTTGGTTGTTGGGAGGTGTTTTCAGGATCACTCGCAGCAGGTTGTTCATTCCAGAGCTGGAGCTCAATCCCTGAATGGCTCGGTCCAAATCTTCCTGACATTTCAGAGCCACCAACATCTGAGGACAGAGATAATGTTAATGAAACAAGACATGTAGGTATAAATACACAAATTCAGATTAGAGTAGAAATGTTCGATTATTGAAAAATAATGAAATTGAACTGAAATTATTAGCTTTTTGAGCATCTTTGGAATAAATCTTGCTTGATTATTTTCATTAGTTAAAACAAGTAATATTATGAAAGATTAGAACAATAAAAATAACTCTCTTGAAACAAAGAAATTTTTTTAAAACACTAATTATTCAGTTTTAAAATATTATAAAATGTAATTTACCCTATTGATTGCTGAATAATCAGCATCATATGCAGTACAGTTGAGGGCAAAATCATTAGTTTATCAAAATATTCATTCTTTATACTCAAATATTTCTCAAGTGATATTTAATGAAGCAGGAAAATTTCTATAATATTTCCTATAATCGTTTTTTTTTCTAGAGAATGACTTGCATTTTTTTCTTTCATTTTGGCCCCCCAATTTTTTTTTTAAACCATTCTAAGGTCAAGATACGAGCTAATAATTCTGACTTCAACTATACTGTAAATATATATGTGTTTGTGATTTAAGTATCTAAAATATTTTGCTCAAGGGTGGGTAAAACCCTTTTGGGTTTGGGTGGGTTTGTTAGTGACAAAATAACAAAATCACAATGAATTAGTTTTCTGTGGTTGCACTGTTATCTTTAAATACAATCTTTTAATATGAATCATCAAATGATTAATGTTCTAAATATGCATGACAAGCATTTTTGTTACTGTATATAAACTATTGTTTCATTGAAAGGCATCTTAATGGGTGTCTTCTGCAAGTAAAATGACGTATAGTCATTCTTTTTTGCTGATAACAAAATTTTAACTATACAAAAAAAATCAAGTACTAGACTTTCATTGTGCTGTTCTATAACTAGAATCAATGCATCACCTCTTTCTCAGTGAAGTACAGGTCCATTTGCTGCCCGAAGGCCTCTGTCACTTTCTGAAGCAGATCCTTGAACTTCAATGGCCTCTGGAAGGGAATTATTCTAAGGGGTAGAAGAATAAGCCTGGTGGTTAAACCCCAACCAATTTCAAGCACAACAGTCATTCTCTTAATTTAGCAACAGTCTCTATATGTAAGTGGTAAAGTATGTAAACATGCCACTGCAGATGTGTGTGATGGCAGAGTTCCAATCACAAGCAGCATTCTGACACTGGGAGTCACTGCTATTGCTAAAAACATGATGAAGGACAGGTCAGAAATAAACATGAGAAAAAAGTGATCTGACACTGCACCATTTATAAGCATACAGAAAAAGTTAGCACTCCTCATAAGAATGACAGACCACAAACCAACTAACACGTCAATGCTTAAAGTGTATCAATGTGGCATGAGAGATTAGAATCTGAGAGTTTAAACTGGTGTATAAGCATGATGTCAGTGAAAGGCAAGCATGATGCGCTTTGACTGTGTGTGTTTTTGGCCTAATCAAGCGAAGCAGACCACTGTTTCAACACTGGTGCCCACAACACACACACACACAAAGGCAGATGGAGCACTTCCTTAGAGGAAAAAGACAAAAAAAAAAAAAAAAACTGGAGCAACTCTGGAAGTAGCAGGAAGCCTATTTTCTATTCCTTCTCCAAAAGTGTGCACCACAACCAAATGTTGGTGGATACACATACAGTATAAACACAATAGCAAACAAGAATACACATGCATGCAAGCGTACATCACCCAATATTCAACACTTGCACCTCTAATATTCAAACCAAAACTATGCCATTGGTGCACATGCACGCACGCACACACACAGAGCACTTTAGATTTAGGGATGTGCAGCATCTAAGTAGAACATAGTTATTATTAAATAACCCAAACAAGAATGTTCTCTAAAGGTTACTTTTATTTTAAAGTTTTATTTTTACAATCCTAAAATAACCTTACAAGATAATAAGCATTGCTTTTATATTCATGCAAACTACCTTTTCATAGCTACAAACTACATGTTGCTGAATTGAATGCCTGAAATTAGTGTAAAACAACGTTCAATAAAACTTTTTGCATAAAAATTATTTAATATTTCAAAATGTATAGCTAAATATAGGATAGTGAGAAAGGTTTTTCTATTTAATAAAGATTATTGATTATTATTACTATAGACATGACATGAGTATACAGTCTATACAGTGCTCAGCATATATGAGTACACACCTTATAAATCTATCTTTCAAATTTATATTTTAATTAGTAAGCTATACAATATTATATTTGTGCATATACATTAAATTAGCCAGTACTGAAGCTGGAGCTTATCTAACAAAAATGGTCGAAAAACTAGTGCACCTGAATTTTTGTGTTCTAAAAAAAATATTAAATACAAATCTTAAAGAAGAGGAAAAATCAAAAGAAGCAAAATGGAAAAAAATAGCTGAAATTGTGTAGGTTGTTTTTATTTAAAATTTTTTTGCTAAATTTTGTTTGAATTTAATTGTATTATCTTTTAATTTCTAAATATGTTTGGTGTTGCTTAAATTTATTGTTTTAATATATATATCTGTTTAATTAATAAAGCTGTTTTGTTTAAATGCACTAAAATACATTGTCTATATTCATTGAGAAATGGATAAAAATATTAATTTTCTAAATTCAAATATTAATGTACTCAATTATGCTGAGCCCTGTAGGCTTTTTTGGGATTTTAGACTGATTTGAATTAAAGATATGATGTTGATCCAAATTTTGATTAAAACTAAAGGAAAAGAAAAGCATGTCCTGCTAAACTTTTTTAACTAAACATTTAAGTTGAATAGCTGTCTTTTTGGTGTTTCTTAGTCTAGTTGATAAAAATTTTAACTACACAGTCACATAACTATCTATTTCATATCAACCACTAACAAACTCTGAGCTCAACAATCAGCATTTTTTGCATCTCCAACATAACAGCAGCTGATTGTTTCTCATCTGCAGAGGCTTATGCGAGTCAAATGAAGTCCAATTTAAGACTTAAGACCAACAATAATAACATTTCAGACATTCATAGGGCTAAACGCTAAAGATTGTTTTTAATAGCCCAGCAGATTTTTATTTTTATTAATAATTTCTTAACCACATATTTTAAATAATGCTTCAAATCAAGCAGACCCAAGTTGTACACAAATATTTTTTTCAACATAACTTTTAAAAAAACTTAGAAAAATTTAATAAAACTAAATGGATGCACAGTGGAATGGTATAGTAGTTAAGAATTTAGTTATGAATGGGTCTTACATCATCATTTTTATTATGCACGGTAATACCGTGTACCGAGGTAAAATAGGAAGGAGGTTTGACAGTATCAAAATTTACATACCGCCCAAGCCTATTATGAACTGAGATTTGCTCTGTTCATAATAAAGCAAATACAGCAATGTATCGTTTGAGCATCAATATCGCAACGTGTGTATCTGCAATAGTAACATCGCAGGATTAGATTTCTTTTTATTAAAGATTAAAAGATAAAGATAATAATAAATATTCTTATTTTTAAAAAATTGTTTATACAACGATGACCATGTTATTTTACGCTTGACTGTTCAAATCCTGCACTTGAACAATATTAGTCTGTCCAGATAACCGCAGAGCACCGTTTATAACTTTTATTTTTGCTCTGACATGCTTATGTAAGCTTGTAATTTATTTGATTTTATGATGCACTGCATTGAAATAGACTTGATCACCCACAATCTAAGTTAATGAAAATGCTCCAAATAAAGCTGTTTAAATCATCTGGTGAAATTCATGTCGCAATATATATCGCAGTGTCAGATTTTTCCAATATCATGCAGCCCTAGTTGGTGATTGGATGTGCTGGATCGATTGGGTAGCTTTACATAAACAAAGAAAAATTAAGACCTGTTGAAAATTATTTAAGGCAAGCAAGAAAATATTTCAGTGAATTTAAGACTTTAAGGCCTAAAGTTTTGTTTTTGAAATTTAAGGCATATTAAGACTCTTTAAGGCCCTGCAGACACCCTGTGGAAAGACTTCAACTGGGGACGTTGGTCATGGGTGAAATCCAGCTGATTAGAGATGAGTTGTGTGTGGTTGAACAGTCAGATCTTCAGTAGATGAAAGTTTGAGCGATGGCCGTGTTTACTCTGGCCGATGAGGGAGATAGTGATTGAAGAAAATCCGAGCGGAAGGCTGGAAAAATGGAGGATGTGGCCTACGAGATGATTTTCCTTCCTCGGCACGCACAGATAAGCTCTCAGTTTGGCCGCGTCTCTCTGTGTTTGGCATGGCATTACGTTTCCTGACTCAGTGTCGCTGCCAGAGGAAGAAGATCTTGATGCGTCCAACTAGGCTGGTCTGCTAACTAATGTCTGTTCTGATGAGTTTTTTATTACTGTGTGTGGATTTATGATGTGTGCTTTGAGATATGGAGATATATGTACCTATGACAGTTTAACGCATGTTATGATTTTATGATGAAAGAAAATGAGAAAAAGATACCATGATATTACTTTGCTGATATGTAAATATTACATATTGTTTAGTTACACCTATAGGTATAAGGCATATAGGCATTTTTAATTACTGGTCTTTTATTGCAATATTTAAAAAATATTCTAATATTAGCTAAAAAAAAAAAAAAAGTTATATTTTGCATTGTAATATTCTAAATGTTAAATAAATGTCAATAATTAAGGTCTGTTTATTAGCTTTTTGGTAAAGTTTTTATTTCTAATACATTTTATTAAATTCTTACATTGTGTAAAAATACACAAATGTTGCTCCCAAAACATTGCAGGACAGAAATTTTAGGTTATATATATATATATATATATATATATATATATATATATATATATATATATATATATATATATATATATATATATATATATATATATATATATATATATATATATATGTTTAATGTTTACAACCCACAAGCAACCTTCCATAAACATATGCACTGTTTTCATAACCACGTTAACTAACATTTCATAACCGCAAACTACATTACAAGGTTTTTTTGTCTGACTGTTTCCTAAAGCTGACCTGTGGGATATGTTATCTAACAGTGGTCCATCACCTCTTCATAAAGTCTGATCTCTCTGTAAACAAACAACAGAACAGAAAAGGACTAAAAACAAAGATTTAGTGTTCCAGCAGCCAATTAAAACTGTGAAAGTGGCACCTCTTTCAGCCAGTGACGCGGCGCCGACTTCCTGCGACAAAGACACTTTCACACAGACGGCAGAGCGGCACAACTGAGCATCTTTAAGAGCAAAAGTGTGACTTCTCCCAGCATGCAAAGAGGCTTTGTGTTACTGACTGAGATGAATGTTAATTCACTTTCTTCCTGTAAACAAAGCCTTTTCCATTTCAGATTAAGTGCATTTTTGCTTAAACAGGGCATTTTAAAAAGGAAAACCAATCTCACTGCCGTTTCCAATATATGTTTCAGAAAAGATTTCCATCTACACTGCACAACAATAAAAGAAGTTATAAAAGTGGACTGAAAAACTATGAACATACATTAAATAAAACTAATTATTATGGTTTTCATTATAAACAACTAATAAATTGTATTGTATAATCCTTTAAATGTTACCTGCATTAAAAATTACCACAAGTAGCTACAAAATTACAAAACTCTATGTAAACAGTTATTAAATAAAACTCTAAATATAATATAGTTGAGTATTTATTAACACGAGTCTACTGTTAAACTGTATTGGGAGCAAAAAAAAGTGACATTTAAATTTAAGTTATAATGGAACTCATTATAAACAACAAGGCTCTAATAGAAAGTGGGCTTGACAAACCACCTGTAGAAAACACTCTTTCATTTCCAACACTTTAACCGACACTTAAACACCAGTTTTGCACCAGACACTTTCTAGCAATCACTCCATACCTCTTAAAAAACAATTTGTATTCATGAAGTGTGCTTAACACAAGAGAGTGGGTTTGACAAACCACCCGTACAATCTCTTTTCTCTCAATAAAAAGCATTAAATTCTCTGAGCAAAAAGAGTTCCTTTGCATAATTAGCACTTCTTGCATGTATTGCCTTTTTCTAGTTGAATGTCTCCTCAACTGTAAGTCACTTTTGACATCATGTAAATGTATGTAAATGCAATATAAGTGTATAATCGTCTTGGCAAATTTAAACAAAACAAATGTCTCTCGTTTGAAACAAATGCAGTTTCAGATGATGTGACAAGATGCGTGCACAATCAATCATCCAGTGACATTTTCTACATTAAGTAGCTTAACTATTTATCGAAACAACTGCATTTGTTTCAAATGAGAGACTTTTGATTGTTAAATCTTGAGAAAATAAATTCCGTTACCGAAAAAAGCAAAACGTCCTAAAGCTTGCATACTCTTCTGTTAGTATACATGACCTGAAAAAAGTCTTGTCGCCAAGTCTTGTTTGTTGTTCCAAGTTTTAAGAACAACAAACAATAACTTGACTTCTAGTTGATCATTTGGTATCAGAAGTGCATTATATGAAAGGCTTATTTTGCTTATTTTACCAAAATAAAATATGATCATACCTTCAGTTAATGATTTATTTTGTACAGTAAGGTCTGGCTTTGCTTAGACAAAAGTCTTGTCACTTAACAGAAATAATGTACAGTATAGAATATAAAGATTTGGTGCAGTGGAAAAAGAATGAATATTGCATATGACTCCCATGAGCCTGGAGGACTGCATCCATCCATTTCTGCAATGAATCAAATAATTTATTAATAAAGTCACCTGGAATGGCAAAGAACGAAATTTGTGGTGATTGGGATGCAGTTCAACAGATAATTCATCTGAAAAATTTACCTTCTGCCACTTTCCCAAATAATGAACTAGAAGTCAAGTTATTATTTGTTGCTCTTACAACTGGGATCCATGACAACAAGACTTTTGTTAGGTAGTGTTTTTCTTCACGAAAAAAGTGCACACTTTCAGAATGTAATATAAGTGTTTTGGTTTCAATTGTCATTCTAAATGAGGCTCTCCAATATTTTCAAAATACCTCAATGTTTTTGACCCTCTAAACACTAAAGTAGGTGTAACCATAGCAAAAATTGAAAAACAAAAAAGAAAGAAAATGCTTAACGGTAAGCGTAGCCTCATTAGGGAATGCTGAAGCACATGTGGACGTCTTCTGCACAGACTCACGTGTTGGCAGGGTTATGCTGGAAGAAATGACTGGTTGAGTGTGTGGGCGCACGGATGACCTACAGGACACTGAGAATGAATATTAGGGTGTGCCACTGAGCTCAAGCGCTTTGGCTTTAGCTCCTCTTTCCTCTGCCAAACTGTAAAAGAGCGAGTGTGAAACGCAACGTCTAAATGTCAGCATACTTTTATAGGAACCTTCTGCTTCTTTTGGGCAGCTTGGCATATTTTCCACGAGATCTTAAAACTGTGTATCGAGAGCTGGGATCAGATGAGAGGAACGAGATATGGGACGGATGGATGAATGGAGAGCTGCAGAAATAATGAGACTCACCGTTTTTCACGCTCATGCTCCAGCTTCACCCGCAAATCCTGAGAGAAGAAAACAACAACATGAAAAGAATTCAGTGGAAACTAAATTACTAGAAAACCAGAAATCACCAGGAGCCTGTGTGTTTCAGGCATTGATGAGCAATTTTATTATTTTTGAAATCTGTAGACTTGGCTTCAAAAGGTATTTTATACTTCTAATTGCTAAAGCGAAGATATAAATACTGAGAATTTGCTGAACTTACTAAACAAGCGTGATAATCTTAGGTTAGCAGGTGCATAAAACAACAGTCATTTAATGAATGCAAATGTTTGCGTATTATTCAAAATGATTTCCACCATTCTGACTGATAAAAATCAGGCATGTGGGATGTTTTATTTCCTTTAGGAGCATTCCCATGTTAAAGGAGGTTAGAGATGATAAAACGTGATAAAAAAAAAAAATGAAAGCATTCTTGTTATAAATGAAAACATGGAAAAAATATATATATCACTAAAGAAACCTCGTTTTGTTTTTGCACCCTAAATCTTAAACTAGCTTACACTTAATCTTAAATTTCTAAATTTAATTGGTGACTAAAATATTATGTTAATAAATATATCCATTTCATAAATCTGTTTTTGTTTAAATTCTCCAAAATACATTGCCTTACTGAGCAATGGATAAAAATAATCATTTTCAAAATGGGGTGTACTCAATTATGCTGAGCACTGTATATATAAAAGTACAGCTAGCACTGAATATATGAACAATATACAATGTTTGTTTTTTTCCAATGTACTTTTTTACTTGTATACTTAAAAAAATAATATTAAACTTTTACTAATACTTATTAATAATACTTTTACTAATACTTATTAATAATACTTTTACTAATAAATAATAATGATAATAAACAAACAAACAAACAAATAAATAGACAACAATAATGGGTGATAGGCTAGCACAGAATAAGCATGAGGGTACTAATATAGTTGTCATTATAATTAGTTCATTAAGATAGTAATATATTAAGTATTATATAAAAGTATTAGTAAAAGTATTAAAAAAAAATGTAAGTATAAAGTAAAAAACCTGTTGTATATTGTTCAGTTATTTAGTGCTAGCTGTACTTTATTCTGCAGTGCAGAATAAAATAAAAAATTGCTTGGTAAAATAAAATATTAACAGAAGCACTCCAGTTCATTATAATCAAAAAAGGTCAATTAAATAATAGATTTATATCTATATTGGAATTTATCTTTAAAGGTTCCCATTGTAAATAATTAATTGTCTATTGTTTGTTCATTCAATGTTTGCTGTACATTTTCATTTTGCAAAAGCAGAATAAAATGATGTATTGTTATTATTATTATTATTTTTATTATTAAAATTATTATTATTAGTAATAATTACTTAACAATTAAGTTATTAACTAAATTATTAAATCATTTTCCTTTCGGCTTAGTCCCTTTATTAATCTGGGGTCGCCACAGAGGAATGAACCACCAACTTATCCAGCACATGTTTTAAGCAGCGGATCTCTTCCTGCTGCAACCTCTGGGAAACATCCATCCACACTTATTCACACTCATACACTACAGACAATTTTAGCCTACCCAATTCACCTGTACAACATGTCTTTGGACTATGGGGGAAACCGGAGCACCGGGAGGAAACACACGTCAACACAGGGAAAACATGCAAGCTCCACACAAAAACGCCAACTGACCCAGCCGAGGCTCAAACCAGCGACCATCGTGCTGTGAGGTGACCGTGCCTCCATGTCACCCTGAACTAAATTATAATAAAACTAAAGCTAAAATATTATTAGATACATTTTTCAATTATTAAGCTTTGCAGTATCTAAAAAAATAAACAAGCAAAACAAAGAAACTTTTTCATTTAAAAATAAAAATTTTCTTTTGTCATATCAATATAACCCAAACATCACCAAGCACAGAAAAATAAAACAGCATAATAGTTTTCAGTCTAATGACTTGTAGCACAACTCCTGCTCAAACTGCTCTGCCTCTGGTAAAGAGAAAAGCCTGCGGTCTCCCCTACTGTTCTGAAATCAGCGAATCTAGCTGCAGCATTAACTTCAGCGCTTCCCTCGAGACACACAGAGCTTCACTGGCACAGATAATGAACAGTCTCCGTCTACAGTCACAGCGTCCACACCACGACAACACTCATGTGAGGAGAGCAGAGAGACACTCAAATAAGAAGCAATCTGCAAGTTCATGAGCTTCTTCATTAAACACCCGCATTACCTGTCAAGACAAATGCCAATCTACTGCGCTCTTATGGTTGAGCTATTATAATGGGGTGGTTAGATGGGAAAGTTGCTTCTGGCATTTTGTGTATGTGAGAGAAGAAATGTAGTAAATGTGTGTAAAATAAAACAATCAAGAGTTTGACAGAAGTAGTGTGCATGTTTGTGCATGTATGTTTGTGTGTGAGTTTGTAAGTGTGTGTGTGTGTGTGTGTGTGTGTGTGTGTACAAAGCTCATGCCAGCCATTTATCTGGAGTCTGACTGGTATCCGGTGTGGAGTGACAGTATTGTAATGAGAATTTAGGCACTGAAAGTACTTAGTACAGTGCACAGGGAGCGGATGTTAAATGTTAACAGTAGTGCCTCTCTCAGCTGTATCCTGTTTAAAACTCTATCTAACAGTGCAGATCTGCCAGGGATTATACAAGGTCAAGCTAGAAGTATTATATTATATTAATTATATTATATTATATTATATTAATTATATTATATTATATTATATTATATTATATTATATTATATTATATTATATTGCGAGGCAGTGGCGCAGTAGGTAGTGCTGTCGCCTCACAGCAAGAAGGTCACTGGTTCGAACCTCGGCTCAGTTGACGTTTCTGTGTGGAGTTTGCATGTTCTCACCGCCTTTGCATGGGTTTCCTCCGGGTGCTCCCCAAAGTCCAAAGACATGCGGTACAGGTGAATTGGGTAGGCTTAATTGTTTGTAGTGTGTGAATGTGTGTGTGGATGTTTCCCAGAGATGGGTTGCGGCTGGAAGGGCATCCGCTGCGTAAAAACTTGCTGGATAAGTTGGCGGTTCATTCTGCTGTGGCGACCCCAGATTAATAAAGGGACTAAGCCGACAAGATATGAATATTATATTATATTATATTATATTATATTATATTATATTATATTATATTATATTATAAACATAGTATTTGTTTATTTAGCAGTCCAGTTCATTATATACAGTACAATAAGTAGATAAATAAATAAGTAAATAATTATAATATATCATTTTGATAGTATTGTCATTTTAAGAAGGTTAGGACAACAATAAAGTAAACCTTTTTTTTTTTAAATGTTTTTTATTCTAATGCATGATTAGTTGCATGACTAGATCACTCTTGTTCAAATTAGAACAGATCCAAAACACATATGATCTGGCTAAATTCAGTCCAATTTCTTTCCTTAAGGCCAGTCAGCCGACTTGTCACTAAAGAATCATTTTGCTTTAAAAAACAGTACAGCTCTACTATAGGAGGATAACCAGTTTCAATGTTTACTGTGGTTTGAAAAAGTCCAGGTTTTGACATTTTCTGTTGTACCATTCCAATGGTATATGCAAGTTTACAACTATTCTATTTCGTTTTTTAGGGCAACAGTATCTCCAGCAGAAAAAAAAAGCTTCCACATTAAAATTGACTGGTCAGCTCACAATTCAGCAAACATCTGAAAACAAATCTCATACACACCAACATCCATGCATGCTATGAACCTGACAAGTGCAGTGGATTACTTTATATCCAGAGAAAAGAAAGATACCGAAAGATGCCTTTTAAAGCTGTAAAGAAATCTGTGTTTCTAAAACTAATGAAGGTCAATGATTTATTTGAATTATTTGGCCTGACTGGTTTTACTAATCCAAAATATTTGAAACGTTTCTTAAACTAAAATACAGTGTGTTTAATGTTTTTTTTACCAAAACATTTAAAAAGAACATATTTTAGAGCAGTAATCACAATACTGTGATATTTTTAGCCAAGGCCCATGCTTAAGCTCTACACAATGTTAGCTGGTGCTGACTGGTGCATTGTGGGTAATAATTACCTGTCTGTACGACGGGCTTCTGCTCTTGGGCTTGTTGCTGTTGTTGCTCTTGATGTGGTAGCAGAAGCGCAAAGCTGCCAAGTCCTTCATAATGGAGGAAAGTGCCTCTTCATCATCTGCGAAACAAACAAACACATATTAATGACTACACAGGCTGAATGATTGCCAACCTCACTGTCCTGATGAGATCCAAACAACCATACTGGCATGCGATTCGCTTTAGCAGCTTCACCAAAACAAAGCTCGAACTTTCAATGAAGTAAACGTAATGCATAGCCATATCACACACATATAGTGGGTGAGGTGGATAATTGCCAGCAAGTTAAAAGGATTTCAGGATGTTCAGATTTGTTTTTAGACACTTGAACAGGTTACAGGTATTCAATGAGGCCACAGCAGAGGATTTATGAACGGAAGTGAAGCTGATGCAGGTTGGTTGTCGTAATGATGACAACTTGGCATCTAAATTCCATTCATACATACCACATATTACATATAGCATACTTTTCTGTTGCTATGGAGTGTGCTAAAACATTCAGATTGTCCTCTAATTGACAATCAAGCTTGGAAACCTTACCATAACATTAGTTATGCTTTCATCCACCTATTCTTAAGTGAACTTTGTAATATTGCATAAATGATGTGTAATAAAAAATTTGAAAATGTGGATTTAAAAACAACTTATGCACACAACTGAGTGAGATAAATGCTAAGAAAAATGTGCATAAACTACAATGGAAATACATTTTCTGAATAAATTTCAGCAAAAACAAAATAATGTCATGAGACTTTGTTTTAACAGATCATGTGATGACAAAAATGGGTTCAATGGGACCGCTTTAATGGACATTCTCAGATTTTTTTGGTCATTATAAAATCTCCTAAGCAAAGTCCATCATCAAAATGTTTCAGCATTATTATTACCTCTCAGAATGGTCTTGAGTGACCAAAAAATGGTCTTGCAACCTTGCATTCATTGCATTTGACTTCGTCTTCTGGAGGCACAAGTTATGTTTTATATTAAAAAAAAAAAAAAGCCACAGTGGCTTCTCCAACCTCAGCAATTTCCAATTTGCTTTTTAATATCTGTAGCCAGTTTATCAGGAAGTGATGTTTTAGTTAGTTTTGACTCGTTGGATATAAACAGTGCTTTTTTTTAAAAAATACTTTGTGGAATTTTCCAGTTTTGTGCGCATATATCTAGTATGCATCTTTGGATGGAAAAATAGCCATTTTCAGGCGTCACAATTTAAGCAATCAGCTACCAAATCATATTTTAAGTTTTCAGTTTTTTTTGTTCAAGTTACTAACCATGTGCAATACTAGTAAATGTTCCTCATATGTTCACCTACAACTGAAATGACCTAGAAAAAAAATCTGTTTCAAACCATGCTCACAGGTTTCCTCACAAAAGCATCATCTATTTAGAGCCAAGTGCAAATAAGATATCCCTCACACAATCAGCTCCAGCAAATCAAACTCCACAAACATTATGTTTGGATCACTTTTCCATTTATGTCGCTTATTTGAATACCACAATGTCATTCAAAACAAGAGACAGTGGATGTTCACAGGGCTGCGGGACCCTTTAAACATGTGGTACACAAACCAGCCCACCATTTCCTTCTGAGATCCAATCAGGGGTTTTCCCCAAGCTGGACACACAGACACAACCCTCACATATTTCCAAAACAGAACTCGTGCTTCTGTCTAGATATAAAACAGTTCACTCAGAGGAAGAGAACGAGAGTGAAAGAGAACATTACTTTTCATTACACAGGGAAGAACACATGGCCAGAAACAAGCGATCACATTTTATTTGCATTAAAAGGGATATGGACTTATTTTGGGAAAGCGGGGTAGGGTGGAGTTCTACTTTTTCAGGACAGCTTTGTGACCACTAATGTAAACTTGTACTTGTATGTTTAACAGCCTGCATTCTTTATGAATGGACGCTGCTGTGATTTAGGTTAAAACTGCACAAATACTGCATACATTTCAAATGATCTCTAATAACAGATTAGTGAGAATAGTGGCCATGGAATATAACAGTTGGTCACACTTGTGTAATTACTGTTGTTAAAAAATAGTCAGCACAGCATTGTTAAAGCCATGCACATTGTAAATATGTGTCTCAACCTTACCTTTTGCAAAAAGTAAAAATATGATGCTCCAGGTACATTTCATTGCACATTTTAGGTTACAAATCCACTAGAGGGCGCTGTCTATTGTACATTTCAGATAAAAAGTCCTTCTTGTCCATGAGACTCATTAATGAGACTATGAAAATTTTGCATTTAAAAGCCACTTTATAAAACCTTTTCATTCAATGTCCCATGCTGGTGGAATGATCTATTCCCACACGGACTGCTGATTCACTAGTATCATTTAAACATCAACTAAAACCCATCTCTTCCGTGATCGCCTAAGTCCCAGTCAACAAAACCAGGACCCACTCTTCTCTCCCCCACCTGCCTTAGGTGAGAGGGCTTGACAAACCACCAGCACAAAAACCCGTTTTCATCTATCGGACACTTTTACCGAGACTCAGTTCCTTTGTATAATTAACACATCTTGTTCGTATCGCCTCTTCTTGTTGAATTGCTCAATGCCTCCTCAACTGTAAGTCACTTCGGAGAAAAGCGTCTGCTAAATGACTAAATGTAAAAGTAGAAACTTACAAGATGTTTTTTTTTTTAGTATAATGACCTCTTTTATGTCAAAATGTCAAGTGTTTTTAATTCCTCAGTTGAAAAAAAACCTTTAAAGATTTGAACACATTGACTTTTTCAATAAGGTTTAGTTTCAACTCTTCATTTTCTAATAAAAAATAACAGAGCTGTTATTTACCTGACAATTAATGAGAAACTTCCATTAAAGTATGTCATATTAAAGCCTCAATCCCACTTAGAAGAACACAATGAGGTTTTCTGCCCAGAACATATGTCCTGAATTCATAACCGGGTCATGTGTGGAACGAAAAGTAGGAACAGAACATTAAAATAGTACACAAACTCAATAGTCATCGAAAGGGAAATGGGGAGCAATCATGCAAATGAGTATGTCAGACATTAACATATCAAGGGTGCCTAATGGGGCCAATTAAGCATGCCTTGTAATTACAGGTTGAGTGGAAGGTCATTCACCTCTGCTGTAATGGGGAGGAGAGAGAGAGTGAGAAAGAGACAAGAGCTCTTGTTATTCTCAGGTGCTTGCATGTGCCAATTTATTTGCTTCATCTTTCCACAGATCTCTGAAAAGAAGCCATTTTTAAAGTTGGTTTGGATTAGAACATCTGTTTGGCCTTGAGTAAATGTAGAATTAAGAAGACCGTGAATTGTTTACCCATTGAAACTTCTAGTTTCATCTAAAATGTAATAACATTTAGATTAACTGTTAAATCATAAGTTCATTTTTTTTAATGTAATTTCACTAGACATTATATACTGATACTTTCTTCCAATAATCACAAAGAAGCTTGATGTTTTTAACTTTGATAAGAAACAAAGAATCATCTTTCATATTTCCATCCAATTTATCAGGGAATTCAATCATAAATGTTCTTGGAGTGCGTATAAATGTCATTCATTCTTATTTTCTTACTAGTTATATCACCAAATAAACATAAATGAAGGGTGAAGCAGTGGCGCAGTAGGCAGTGCTGTTGCCTCACAGCAAGAAGGTTGCTGGGTCGATGGTTCGACCCTCGGCTCAGTTGGCGTTTCTGTGTGGAGTTTGCATGTTCTCCCTGTGTTCGCGTGGGTTTCCTCCGGGTGCTCCGGTTTGCCCCACAGTCCAAAGACATGCAATACAGGTGAATTGGGTAAGCTCAATTGTCCGTAGTGTATGAGTGTGTGTGTGAATGTGTGTGTGAATGTTTCCCAGGGATGGGTTGCGGCTGGAAGGGCATCCACTGCGTAAAAACTTGCTGGATAAGTTGGCGGTTCATTCCGCTGTTTCGACCCCGGATTAATAAAGGGACTAAGCCGACAAAAAAATGAATGAATGAAAACATCAGATCAATCATTTTAAAATTGTAATTGTAACTTAATACATTAAAAAGGCACCATGGTTTGTTCAGTAACTCCTTGTTTAATAAAAGAAGCAATTTGATGTTTGATTTTATTTCTATGACTTATTCACTTCAGTCTATTTAACTATAATATATTTGAGTAAATAACAGACTAAAAACATGGTCCACAAGATCTTAGCATCAATTAAATAATCCTCAAGTTGATCTTAAGTCATTTTTGAAGGCCAGCAGTCCCTTTTTATATTTACTGCTCAAAGAAGAAAACTGTAATATATTTTAATTGGCAATTATATGAGTCATATGATTTTTTTATTTTATTTGTGGCCAAACAATTTCATTAAATAGCCTAAGCTAACAACGTTATTACAAACTGGAGCTGAACCCAGATATCCAGCAGTAAGAGGTGGTCAATGTTAGTGGGGTATTAGAGAGGTTTTATAGCATCCCAGGGGTGACAGCAGGGCATTGTGGGGCACAGGCAGATGGATTCTGGGCCGATCTTTGATTTTGACACCAGCACAAGTCTCACTCCGCAGCTGCTCCTCCACCATTAGACTGGGTTCACAAAAGGTTCACAACACAAACTTTTTTCAATCTGACCTCATTTCTATTTTAATATTACCACAGTAAAGTGCTTCATCTTCTGCAAAACAACCTCTGACGCTATTGATCCTGAAACAGTAAAGGGGAATTCACTAAACAGTTGTTCCATATTTGTATGCTGCGTTTCAACACAAACTTCTTCAGAATACCACAATCCAGGATTAGCTATCGAATAGTTAATGAGTACATATGAAGTCAGAATTATTAGCCCCCTAAATTATTAGCCTCCCTGTTTATTTTTCCCCCAATTTCTGTTTATTGGAGAGAAGATTTTTTAACACATTTCTAATAACTGATTTAATTTATCTTTGCCGTGACAGCGTGATTGCTGTGAGTTTATAAGATATTTTTTAAAACACTATATACACACACACACACACACACACACACACATACACACACACACACACACACACACACACACACACACACACACACACACACACACACACACACACACACAAACACACACACATATAT